AGTGAGGAGTGAGCTGCACTGACCGGGCGACACGGTGAGCTTGATGTCGGAGACGGCGAGGTCGAGGTGCGGGTCGGCGCCGGGCGGCTGCGAGAGCGCCAGCGACACGTGCGCGGGCGCGAGTGAGTGAGGAGTGAGCTGCACTGACCGGGCGACACGGTGAGCTTGATGTCGGAGACGGCGAGGTCGAGGTGCGGGCCGGCGCCGGGCGGCTGCGAGAGCGCCAGCGACACGTGCGCGGGCGCGGGCGCGAGTGAGTGAGGAGTGAGCTGCACTGACCGGGCGACACGGTGAGCTTGATGTCGGAGACGGCGAGGTCGAGGTGCGGGCCGGCGCCGGGCGGCTGCCAGAGCGCCAGCGACACGTGCGCGGGCGCGGGCGCGAGTGAGTGAGGAGTGAGCTGCACTGACCGGGCGACACGGTGAGCTTGATGTCGGAGACGGCGAGGTCGAGGTGCGGGCCGGCGCCGGGCGGCTGCGAGAGCGCCAGCGACACGTGCGCGGGCGCGGGCGCGAGTGAGTGAGGAGTGAGCTGCACTGACCGGGCGACACGGTGAGCTTGATGTCGGAGACGGCGAGGTCGAGGTGCGGGCCGGCGCCGGGCGGCTGCGAGAGCGCCAGCGACACGTGCGCGGGCGCGAGTGAGTGAGGAGTGAGCTGCACTGACCGGGCGACACGGTGAGCTTGATGTCGGAGACGGCGAGGTCGAGGTGCGGGTCGGCGCCGGGCGGCTGCGAGAGCGCCAGCGACACGTGCGCGGGCGCGAGTGAGTGAGGAGTGAGCTGCACTGACCGGGCGACACGGTGAGCTTGATGTCGGAGACGGCGAGGTCGAGGTGCGGGCCGGCGCCGGGCGGCTGCGTGAGCGCCAGCGACACGTGCGCGGGCGCGAGTGAGTGAGGAGTGAGCTGCACTGACCGGGCGACACGGTGAGCTTGATGTCGGAGACGGCGAGGTCGAGGTGCGGGCCGGCGCCGGGCGGCTGCGAGAGCGCCAGCGACACGTGCGCGGGCGCGGGCGCGAGTGAGTGAGGAGTGAGCTGCACTGACCGGGCGACACGGTGAGCTTGATGTCGGAGACGGCGAGGTCGAGGTGCGGGCCGGCGCCGGGCGGCTGCGAGAGCGCCAGCGACACGTGCGCGGGCGCGAGTGAGTGAGGAGTGAGCTGCACTGACCGGGCGACACGGTGAGCTTGATGTCGGAGACGGCGAGGTCGAGGTGCGGGCCGGCGCCGGGCGGCTGCGAGAGCGCCAGCGACACGTGCGCGGGCGCGGGCGCGAGTGAGTGAGGAGTGAGCTGCACTGACCGGGCGACACGGTGAGCTTGATGTCGGAGACGGCGAGGTCGAGGTGCGGGCCGGCGCCGGGCGGCTGCGAGAGCGCCAGCGACACGTGCGCGGGCGCGGGCGCGAGTGAGTGAGGAGTGAGCTGCACTGACCGGGCGACACGGTGAGCTTGATGTCGGAGACGGCGAGGTCGAGGTGCGGGCCGGCGCCGGGCGGCTGCGAGAGCGCCAGCGACACGTGCGCGGGCGCGGGCGCGAGTGAGTGAGGAGTGAGCTGCACTGACCGGGCGACACGGTGAGCTTGATGTCGGAGACGGCGAGGTCGAGGTGCGGGCCGGCGCCGGGCGGCTGCGAGAGCGCCAGCGACACGTGCGCGGGCGCGAGTGAGTGAGGAGTGAGCTGCACTGACCGGGCGACACGGTGAGCTTGATGTCGGAGACGGCGAGGTCGAGGTGCGGGTCGGCGCCGGGCGGCTGCGAGAGCGCCAGCGACACGTGCGCGGGCGCGAGTGAGTGAGGAGTGAGCTGCACTGACCGGGCGACACGGTGAGCTTGATGTCGGAGACGGCGAGGTCGAGGTGCGGGCCGGCGCCGGGCGGCTGCGTGAGCGCCAGCGACACGTGCGCGGGCGCGAGTGAGTGAGGAGTGAGCTGCACTGACCGGGCGACACGGTGAGCTTGATGTCGGAGACGGCGAGGTCGAGGTGCGGGCCGGCGCCGGGCGGCTGCGAGAGCGCCAGCGACACGTGCGCGGGCGCGGGCGCGAGTGAGTGAGGAGTGAGCTGCACTGACCGGGCGACACGGTGAGCTTGATGTCGGAGACGGCGAGGTCGAGGTGCGGGCCGGCGCCGGGCGGCTGCGAGAGCGCCAGCGACACGTGCGCGGGCGCGAGTGAGTGAGGAGTGAGCTGCACTGACCGGGCGACACGGTGAGCTTGATGTCGGAGACGGCGAGGTCGAGGTGCGGGCCGGCGCCGGGCGGCTGCGAGAGCGCCAGCGACACGTGCGCGGGCGCGGGCGCGAGTGAGTGAGGAGTGAGCTGCACTGACCGGGCGACACGGTGAGCTTGATGTCGGAGACGGCGAGGTCGAGGTGCGGGCCGGCGCCGGGCGGCTGCCAGAGCGCCAGCGACACGTGCGCGGGCGCGGGCGCGAGTGAGTGAGGAGTGAGCTGCACTGACCGGGCGACACGGTGAGCTTGATGTCGGAGACGGCGAGGTCGAGGTGCGGGCCGGCGCCGGGCGGCTGCGAGAGCGCCAGCGACACGTGCGCGGGCGCGAGTGAGTGAGGAGTGAGCTGCACTGACCGGGCGACACGGTGAGCTTGATGTCGGAGACGGCGAGGTCGAGGTGCGGGCCGGCGCCGGGCGGCTGCGTGAGCGCCAGCGACACGTGCGCGGGCGCGAGTGAGTGAGGAGTGAGCTGCACTGACCGGGCGACACGGTGAGCTTGATGTCGGAGACGGCGAAGTCGAGGTGTGGGCCGGCGCCGGGCGGCTGCGAAAGCGCCAGCGACACGTGCGCGGGCGCGAGTGAATGAGGAGTGAGCTGCATTGACCGGGCGACACGGTGAGCTTGATGTCGGAGACGGCGAGGTCGAGGTGCGGGCCGGCGCCGGGCGGCTGCGAGAGCGCCAGCGACACGTGCGCGGGCGCGGGCGCGAGTGAGTGAGGAGTGAGCTGCACTGACCGGGCGACACGGTGAGCTTGATGTCGGAGACGGCGAGGTCGAGGTGCGGGCCGGCGCCGGGCGGCTGCGAGAGCGCCAGCGACACGTGCGCGGGCGCGAGTGAGTGAGGAGTGAGCTGCACTGACCGGGCGACACGGTGAGCTTGATGTCGGAGACGGCGAGGTCGAGGTGCGGGCCGGCGCCGGGCGGCTGCGTGAGCGCCAGCGACACGTGCGCGGGCGCGAGTGAGTGAGGAGTGAGCTGCACTGACCGGGCGACACGGTGAGCTTGATGTCGGAGACGGCGAAGTCGAGGTGTGGGCCGGCGCCGGGCGGCTGCGAAAGCGCCAGCGACACGTGCGCGGGCGCGAGTGAGTGAGGAGTGAGCTGCACTGACCGGGCGACACGGTGAGCTTGATGTCGGAGACGGCGAGGTCGAGGTGCGGGCCGGCGCCGGGCGGCTGCGAGAGCGCCAGCGACACGTGCGCGGGCGCGAGTGAGTGAGGAGTGAGCTGCACTGACCGGGCGACACGGTGAGCTTGATGTCGGAGACGGCGAGGTCGAGGTGCGGGCCGGCGCCGGGCGGCTGCGAGAGCGCCAGCGACACGTGCGCGGGCGCGAGTGAGTGAGGAGTGAGCTGCACTGACCGGGCGACACGGTGAGCTTGATGTCGGAGACGGCGAGGTCGAGGTGCGGGTCGGCGCCGGGCGGCTGCGAGAGCGCCAGCGACACGTGCGCGGGCGCGAGTGAGTGAGGAGTGAGCTGCACTGACCGGGCGACACGGTGAGCTTGATGTCGGAGACGGCGAGGTCGAGGTGCGGGCCGGCGCCGGGCGGCTGCGTGAGCGCCAGCGACACGTGCGCGGGCGCGGGCGCGAGTGAGTGAGGAGTGAGCTGCACTGACCGGGCGACACGGTGAGCTTGATGTCGGAGACGGCGAGGTCGAGGTGCGGGCCGGCGCCGGGCGGCTGCGTGAGCGCCAGCGACACGTGCGCGTGCGCGAGTGAGTGAGGAGTGAGCTGCACTGACCGGGCGACACGGTGAGCTTGATGTCGGAGACGGCGAGGTCGAGGTGCGGGCCGGCGCCGGGCGGCTGCGAGAGCGCCAGCGACACGTGCGCGGGCGCGGGCGCGAGTGAGTGAGGAGTGAGCTGCACTGACCGGGCGACACGGTGAGCTTGATGTCGGAGACGGCGAGGTCGAGGTGCGGGCCGGCGCCGGGCGGCTGCGAGAGCGCCAGCGACACGTGCGCGGGCGCGGGCGCGAGTGAGTGAGGAGTGAGCTGCACTGACCGGGCGACAAGGTGAGCTTGATGTCGGAGACGGCGAGGTCGAGGTGCGGGCCGGCGCCGGGCGGCTGCGAGAGCGCCAGCGACACGTGCGCGGGCGCGGGCGCGAGTGAGTGAGGAGTGAGCTGCACTGACCGGGCGACACGGTGAGCTTGATGTCGGAGACGGCGAGGTCGAGGTGCGGGCCGGCGCCGGGCGGCTGCGAGAGCGCCAGCGACACGTGCGCGGGCGCGAGTGAGTGAGGAGTGAGCTGCACTGACCGGGCGACACGGTGAGCTTGATGTCGGAGACGGCGAGGTCGAGGTGCGGGTCGGCGCCGGGCGGCTGCGAGAGCGCCAGCGACACGTGCGCGGGCGCGAGTGAGTGAGGAGTGAGCTGCACTGACCGGGCGACACGGTGAGCTTGATGTCGGAGACGGCGAAGTCGAGGTGTGGGCCGGCGCCGGGCGGCTGCGAGAGCGCCAGCGACACGTGCGCGGGCGCGAGTGAGTGAGGAGTGAGCTGCACTGACCGGGCGACACGGTGAGCTTGATGTCGGAGACGGCGAGGTCGAGGTGCGGGCCGGCGCCGGGCGGCTGCGAGAGCGCCAGCGACACGTGCGCGGGCGCGGGCGCGAGTGAGTGAGGAGTGAGCTGCACTGACCGGGCGACACGGTGAGCTTGATGTCGGAGACGGCGAGGTCGAGGTGCGGGCCGGCGCCGGGCGGCTGCGAGAGCGCCAGCGACACGTGCGCGGGCGCGGGCGCGAGTGAGTGAGGAGTGAGCTGCACTGACCGGGCGACACGGTGAGCTTGATGTCGGAGACGGCGAGGTCGAGGTGCGGGCCGGCGCCGGGCGGCTGCGAGAGCGCCAGCGACACGTGCGCGGGCGCCAGCAGCGTGCGCGCGGCGGCGGCGCGGCCCAGCGCGCGCAGCACCAGCTGCAGCCCCGAGATGCCGCCCTCCGCCACCATGCGCTCCGCCGTGCGCCGCACCTTCAGCCGCGCCTCCATCTGCCGACGATTCAATCGCGGCTTTACATATTTATACATATATTATTGTTAATGTCTTGTACATGGCAATACTAGTTGCCACTACCGCACTTTAGTATCGAGTAGCAGAACTAGGAGATCCTTCAGATCCTTCTAGAAGTTTCGGGACCGATATGTACTCAAACATTCTAGATGTTTCCACGGTAGAAGGTTCTGAAAACTATCTGAAGCCCTGACTGAGTCAATATTGAATTGGTGATATAAGACAATACTTCGAAGCGAAATAACTGCGAACTAAAGTGATCAGTATTACAATTGTGTTTTATTATTAGTGTGGTTTTAAGTTGTAATGAGTGTTCTGTAATTAAAGTGTCAATTTTGGTAATTCACGCGGCAGTTTTTAATTGTCTCGAACCCCAAGCTCGTAACATTATATACTCATCATACACGTGGCCGAGTATATTTCAAACGTCCATATACTGTCTGGTAATAATAATTGGATAACCTTGAAATAGTTTGCAGCAACTGATAGCCATTCAAAAAAAGCTTATCCCAAGTAATACCTAGAGCATGATTTTTTTTTAAATACTGATATTTTTTGAAATGAGAAAGAGCAATGGCAGAAAAATAGTTGACAAAAATTACAGCGTCTAGAAATAAGTTATATATAAAATGAGTTTTATTATTTTTCTATGATTTTTCAAATAAAAATGTATTTTAATTAAAGCCACAGAAAAAAACAAACATTTTTGGGAATATCAAATGACTGAAATCATTTTTTTTTTTGGAGTTTATGGCCTGGCATCTAGACCTTTAGGCCAAGTCTTGAGTATTTTTATTCGGTTTATTATAATTTCCCCACTGTATTTTTGATGAATTTATATAGAGGCACGTAATAGGATCTATTTTTTAACATATCACTCAGGCGGCGGGAGGGATCTTGCACTGTCACTTGATTTTGCACTATGTCACTAATTTCACTGACAAGAATCGATCTGTCAAATGAAAAGCACTCACATGTAAATATGAAATGTTCGATATCACCAACAGAATTATTGCAGAAGGTGCAGTAACTGCTCTCCACTATGCCCAATCGAGCCAGGTGGGCCGGGACGGTGGAGTGACCAAAGCGCAGTCTATTTATAGTGGTAACAAAGTCCCGACTGGCCATTTTCAGTTTGTTATACCATGGTGCTACACGTAGTTTTTCTTGAACAGTTCCATACCACATTTACCCTTCTGTTCTTGATCTTGTTTCCAAAATTCGACCCATAAGCTATTGACCTGGTTGTCAATAGATTGATAACAGTCGGTCAAAGGTACTTTTACTATGGAGCTAACATCCAACATGTTGGTTCCATCACGTGCAATTTTATCTACTATCTCATTTCCTGTTATGCCCCTATGTGATGGAATCCACATGAAAGAGACCTGTATACCCTTTTTTGCATAACTAAATAACAATTTTTTAATATTATACAAAATATAGTTTTTTTTAAAGTCAAATCTGAGATTAGTTAAACTTTGGACCATACTTAAACTGTCTGTTAAAATTAAAAAATTATTAAAACTATTTATATGTGCAATCCTCTTCAGGGCCTCGAGGGCCGCATATACCTCTGCAGTGAAAACACTGCATTTAGGGTCCAGAAGAAAACTTTGAGCAAACTTGCATTGTGGATCATAAACGGCACTGCGCACAAAGAGCTCATTTTTGCTACCATCTGTATACAAAGTATAGTAGTTGTCGGAAATAAAACTTAATAATTCACAATTATTAAAAAAATTTTTGGTAACAATATTGGTCTCAAATATAATACAGGAATATGGGTATGTGTATCATGTCCACTTTGATTGTTTAATTACATTTTTAAAATCTTCATTCATTTGCTGTACAATGAGAGGCAAAACTGGAAAATAACCTTGTAAAAGCTCACCTCCCGAAGTCTGCTGGACCGAGCATTGTAAAGGAAAAGGTACTATTTTTTTGAGAACATTATCATTACCAGATACCAGCTTTAGTAAATATCTCTCTATTAGCAGAAGTCTTCTAAGACACAGTGGCATTATTTTGGTTTCAACTTCCATAGCTCGTATGGGAGTTGAACACATAGCCCCAGAAATAATTCGCAGAGCTTTGTTTTGAATTATGTCTAGTTTTTTTACACAACTACTATTTGAGTAGGCTAAACAACTGTAGTCGAAATGGCTTCTGACTATAGATTTATATAGCATACTTAAAACTTTGGGGTCTGCACCCCAAGTCACACCAGCTAAACATCTTATAATATTTAAGCCCTTAAGAGAGTTAGTTATAATGTGATTGATGTGTAAATTAAAACAAAGTTTGTTATCAATGACAACACCCAGGAATTTATGGTTAGATACAACTGAAATTGGATGATTATTGTAGAGTATGCCATTAGAGGGAAAATCTTTACTAAAAATCATGGCCTTGCTTTTGTTAGGGTTAATCTGTAGAGCCAACTTGTCATTATAATATATGTACAATTGCTCTAAAGCATTATTTATACTATTTACAGCTCTATCTACATTATGGTCTGTACAATATATTACAAGATCATCCGCAAATTGTAAAATATTTACACCTTCTATATTTACAAAATTAAGAATTTGACTAGTGTATATGTTGTACAACAATGGAGATAATGTAGCCCCCTGCATTGTACCTTTGGAGACCCTTCTGGGACCATGGAGAATATTATTATGCCTAATATACAAAGTTCTATCTATTAAAAAATTAAATAACCAATGGCAAAGTATGCCTGGTATACCAATGTCAGAAAGAACTTGAACCAAAATGCCAGGATCTACATTATCAAACGCACCTTCAATATCCAGAAAAACACAAACACTGGACTTATTATTATTATTGGCATATTTCAGATCTGACAAGAGAGAGATGAAGCTGTCAGCACAACTTCTGCCTCTCCGGAAGCCATATTGAACATGTGGAATGATGTTGTTCGCCTCTACATAACACTCAAGACGCATCTTTATCATGTTTTCATTAAGCTTTCCAACACAAGATGACAAAGATATAGGACGATATGAATTAGGATCTTCAGGTGGCTTGTCAAGCTTAAGTAGAGGGATTACACACTGTGTTTTCCAAGATTCAGGAATTTTTTTTAAGTGCCAAAGAGCATTAAGATTAGCTAATAGTTTCTTTTGTACGGACTGATTTAGGTTTTTGATCAAAATGTATGGACAATTATCTAAACCAGGGGTTGTGTTTCGTCTGGATTGTAAACTTGTACAAAACTCACTCCAAGTAAAGGGTTCTATGAGGAAACTGGACTTCTGAAGACTATTATTAATTTGAAAATAACTTTCTAGATTATCAATAACCCTACATCCATTTCGAGATAATTTGTCTAAAAGAGGGACTACAAATTCGTCTTTATATGTTCTATTATTGCATTTTATTCGTTTAAATAACTTGATGTATTTCCAAATAATACTAACAGGTGTAGTTCTGTTAAAAGTATTACAGATGTTAGCCCAACCATTGCGTTTATGTTCTGAAATAGTCTTTTTCTTAACAGCATTAAGTCTTTTGTAATTAATGTAATTATCAATGGTTGGATCTCTTCTGTACAGTTTTAAAGCTTCATAAGTTTTAATAACACTCTGTTCACATGTGTCACTCCACCAAGGTGCTGGAGGTTTGCAACGATAGTTGTTTGCTTTGACAAACTTTGGCACAGTATCTCTCCTAAGTGTATCAAGCCTTTCAATAAATTCATCATATGACTGTAATGGATTCTCATTATTAACTTCAAAATTAGAAAAAGCAGTTATAGATAGCTCATTGTATTTTGTCCAGTCTGTCTTGTTGTATAAGAATTTTTCAATGGGAGGATTAATTTGGTATCTATCAACTGACAATAAAACACGAGTAAGCGTAGGAAAATGATAGCTCCCCATACAATCATCATGCACCCACCATTCGCATAGTGGAGTGATTGAAGCACTACAAAAGCTGACATCAATAGCCGATGGATTTCGGTTAGGATAATTAATAGTAGTGAAGCTACCATTGTTGAGGACACATAGATCGAATTCATCAATTAAATCGTATAACTGATGACCCCGACTTTTCGTGGTCATACACCCAAATGCCACATGGTGAGCGTTGAAATCTCCAGCCACATATATTGGCTTAGGCAAATCTCTAATTATATCACGCAGTTTACTTATTCTGAAGTTACCATTCGATGAAGGGCAGTATACACATAAAATAGTTAATTGTTTACCACTTACATATAACAATAATGCCACAGTCTGAATGTCTTGGTAAAATCTGGTTTGAATAATATTATATTTAAAATACGGTTTGATCAAAATTGCTACTCCACCATGCTCATTTTGGGCATTATGATAGTGGAAATTATATCCCGAAATGTTAAAATGCTGAGTATCTTTCAGCCAAGTTTCATTGAGTAGACAGATATCAACATTTTGTTCATCTAAAAATTTAGACAATAAGGATTTTTTCCTATGTATACTTTGAATATTGTACTGAGCTATACATAACTGCTGTATGTTCTGTACTGTACTGTCCATTATTGTGACAGATTTTTTAAAAGTAAGTCTTTAATGAACAGTGTAATCACAGGTTCATTATCTGTTTTATTACCTAATTCGACTAAAGTTTGGACCATTGCCATCAAAATATTCTTATTGTTTGCAATTTGAGCCTTAAGTTGAGTTTGGTTCAAGTTGGGTTCAGGCACTGTTTTATTTACATTATTTACAATTTTTACATTTTTATTTAATTTATGTACATTTTGGTTTATTGATGGTAGGGTCTTAACAATGCTGCTCGACTGTGCAGGTAAAGACGGAAAATCAGATGACTTAATTGTATTAGCTACAGAGGCATAAGTAATTTTACCCTTTTTTTCAAGTATTTTTTTCATTTTTATTGGCCAAGATTTGGAAATGGCCAGGTGGGGACCACTGCAATTGACACAACACAGGTTTTCTTTTTTATCACAGTCTCTGAAATTATGTTCCCCTGCACATATCGAGCAACGTTGTTTACCATTACAAATTTTCGCAGGGTGGTTGAACTTGAAGCACCGGAAGCATTGTTGTAACGGTGGGACATATTCAAACACCCTGAACGAAAATAGGTCATATTGGATGTTGTCGGGCAGAACATTTGATAGGAAAGTTATACTGACCGTCTCGAGACCTACAGTACTTTGACCGACTTTTTTCGTGAATCTTCTCACTGAAATAATTTCATAAATCGAAGACAGTTTCGTATATAATTCCTTGTTCGAAATGTTGGTAGGCACATATCGGATGATTCCAGTTTTTTCTATCTGCGCTGCAGGAATATGCGCCTTCAAGTTGTGCTTTGTTAAAAAGTCTGTATTTGTGATGAAATTATTTGCAGTGTTGTATTGTTTAAAAACAACCGCAATTTTGTTGGCATTGACTCTATGTAAAGCTACCACACCTTTCACCTCCGAAGTAAAAATATGATTTAAGTAAACTGGGCTTTTATTTCCAAGTTTAACCTGTTTGTCCTGGCTTTCAACAAAAACTTTGAAGTCCGTATTTGTACAATGTTCAGGATAAAGTCTCAGATAACCTGGCTTAAAAAACGGAATAAAGTCATCCTCACCGCCGCCTACTTCAGGTCCACTTTCCTTCGTACCTCTTTTACGAACAATTTTGGATCGTTTCGGGGTTCCACCTGGATCCTCCGGTTCATTCATTTTAACAATTAACAAAATGTACAATTATTTACACCGAACAGGATATTTTAACGATAAATATAAAAATTAAATCGACCGCCTCGTTTGATGTTCCCGCCAAAAAAACCCACTGAAATCATTTTACTCTATTCAAATGTTGCCATTTAGTATATTCCTACTATTTTCGTATACACTTTGTAACATTACCAACACAACACACAAAATATTTTTATATTAAGTTATTATTAGTAATAACTGTACTATCAGTAATAACAAAACTAAAAGTAATATGGCTGAGAATAAGTCTCTTACAAAGAATTTCCTACAATAATACATTATCTCAATCATAGTAATATGTAACAATTCCATTTAATGTTATGCCAACACTAGCTAAAATAAAATGTCACTGGTTTTTTTTACTGGCTTTACGGCTCTGGGTTCTAGCCCTTCTGAGAATGTCACTATGGTAGAAAAGCCCTGGAACCATGCCAGAAATATACATTTATAGTATGCAAATATATAATAGAGATACAATAATCAAAAAACTCTCAATTATGTATTATGTATTAAGCTAACATCAAACAACCACAGGAAGCATGACTTTTTCCAAGTGACATAGGACATAATCTAAAAAGGTTCAAATGTAAATATCTTTTTTTTTTGACGCCTTCTCAGTACAAAATTCTTTGACAGAGTTATTAAGGGACTGACGCTTAACATTTTAAGATATTTTTGGTATATAGACGCTACCATTTCTTCTCAACTAATTTTACGTATGAAAGTCTGCCATTGCTCTTTTAAATTCGTGTACCCCATGTCCACAAATTAAATTATTTCATCGGATTGTTGCTGATAACATACTTTACATTAACTATGCTGATTAGTAGGTAGCAAATATTACGGTTAGTTATTGCAGATGTTCTTTAAAATTTTTAATTAAAAAAATTAAAATAGATTTAACCCATTCCAGGTCACACAAGTGTAAACTCCCTTACCAAGATTAAATTATGCTTTTGCCGACAAATGCTGACAAAGATTGAAGACCCGTAGTTTTACCAAAACTATTATAAGTACCAGTTATAACCCAAAGAAATGGATTGATTGTCTGGGGCCATTAATTACCGGACACCTATATAACACCAACAAGTAACTATCACTGTGAAAGTTACAAAGATATAGATAACTACTGCATTGTCTATATCTAGGTTATATCAACTAAGTTCATACGTAACAGCCTTTTCAAGTGCGTTTCAATAAACAATTCCTATGTTTTTGGCTTTACTGTCTGACAACGATATCGACACGCGGAGATACTACTGCAGATTTTATTAAGGTTCATTTGATTTCTGGCTGAATATCACGCCCAAAACTTTAAAAAGTGGTGTAAGATTGATGGTGGGGAAGAACTTTTGTAAACGTGGAAACCGTAATGATGCCTCATTAATTCCTTTACGATGTGTTCAGGATCGTGTCAGCGCGTTTACAGGTTAGTAAAATAGGGTTACCAGTGACAAATAATAATTTCCCCACTCAACCAGTCAAAATATATATATATATATATATATATTTGTAATTATTTATTTATTTACTTAATTTATTAAGAAAACCAACAGCGTATGTAGAATCTTATGATATGATAATAATTTGCAAGACTTAAGCACGTGTACTGCGACTATTGTTTGTATATAGTCGTAAGACTTTAAAAATAGATAATTGAAATAGTATATTTGTTTTAGGTATATCCAAAAAAATTGTGTCCGAAATCACCAAAGTTGAGGTGCCACCCAGCACGTTGACAAAGATTTCAACACCACGCAAAAGCGGTCCCCGGCATTAGAGAATTGAAATGGACGACTACGGTAAAATTCATAAAATTCATGAATTTTATTCCGTAAGAAAGGAAATGCCTACTCTTGCAAAGTTATTACACAAAATGCGATGCGAAATAGATTTTAAAGAAAGTCATACCACTTTATAAAGAATAATAGAGATGGGGTTTTATTTAAAAAAAAATGTAGATCTAAAATCAAAGTACTAATGGCGAGACATTGTCGCCCGGCGATATCGATACCTGGAGAATTACAGAATAATCGTCTTGGAAACCAGCGCCCAGTTGTTTATTTGGACGAGACATATATACATGCAACATATTGCGCCGGAAAATGCTACCAAAGCGAATCTGAAGAAGACGTATTATGTTCAGACTCCAAAGGACCCCGGTAGTTTATCGTCCACGCGGGTGTTGCTATGGGTTTCATATCCAATGCTCAGCTAATCTTTAGATCTCAGTCACGAGAGGCCGACTATCATTATGATATGAACAAAACCAACTTATGAAGTGGCTTAATGAAAAGCTGATACCCAACCTAACTTCCCAGTTAATTGTGATCATGGATAATGTCCCTTACCACACAGTAAACGTTCACAAAGCACCTACAAAGGTAAGCACAAAAACTGAAATGCAAAACTGGATTACAGGTAAAGGACTTTCGTATTTGCCGACGATGGTAAAGGCTCAGTTATATGAAATAATTAAAAGAACAGACAGCCCCCTGCATATAAAGCAGATTAGATGTTGGAAAAGCATTGGCATAAAGTGGTGAGGTTTCCATTTTACCACTGTGATTTAAACCCCATAGAGCTCATATGGAGTCTCGTAAAAAACGGTTACTGAAAAAAAATGTTGGTGAAGAAGTAAATAAAATTGTCTAAATAACAGAAGAAGCCTTTGCAACGATTACCGAAGAAGAATGGCTCAAAAAATGTAAACACGTCCGAAGAATTGAATAAAAATATTACGCCGATGGTTCAGCTATAGATAGCGAAATCTACCAGTTCATAATTAAAGTAGGAGACGATAACGATACTTCTGATAACCAGGATGATATGGAATACGAAGACGACGAAAGTATATCTGGTATAAGTCCGTTGGATGACCATAATTTCTTCAAGTATTAGATACCTATGAAATTGCCATTACAAATCAAATGTTTTACTTGATCATACTATTAGTAAAAAGGATTAAATTATTTTTTGCTTTTCAGTACTGTCTTATTTTATTTAATGGTGAAAATCATTTGTAAATATGTATTAACATCTCGATGACAATTTTTCCATAATATATTTTTCTACCGATTTAGTTCACGAAAATAAAATACACAATCATCCTAACTCTGAGGTAAGTCATTGAAGGTAACGTGGCAACACTGACAAACATTACTGCCAACATAACGGCAAAGGACCTATTTGACGAAACGCACTCTATAGGTAAGCAAAGTTTAGATCGGTAGAGCGTAATGGTAGCAACATGGACATATAAATTGTATCGTAAAAAAATATATTTGCTCTAGTATAATTATCACAGAAAACAGGAATATGTTTGTATACGCCCGGATAATATCTTCATAAACAACCCTCAGTATGATTTGCATGTCTCTCTCATTGAATATGGGGTATTATAATCACATTACAAAAGTCCTTAAAAACTACTCACATTTAACACGAGGGCATCGCATTTCTTCTGTTCAAGAGACTCCACAAGAATAATGTCAGGCTGCTCAATCTTTATATTTACAGTCATCATAGAATTATTTTGTGGCTCTGTTGTTTGGGGTGCAGCCGCCATTGAAGCCTTCTTTTTCTAAAATTGAAATTATAAAAGAATAATTATTAATTAATGCTTATTGCTAATATATGTACAAAAATAACAATAAACATAACTACAAAATAGTTATACTTATTTTCTGACCAAAAAAGAAAGATAAAGGGAGTGCAAGACGCATTTTTCAAGTAATGCAAAAACCATGCTTTCTTCTTTCATTCCATAACACAGCCTGTAATTCAGTTCATTGGTCGCACACATATGTACCTAAAACTATACCGTTGGTTGGAAATTTTGATACATATGTGTAGTGCATGTTCATACAATAAGTTGAGCATAGTTTTGGCTCGGTATATACGGAGCGACGGAGCGCTTCCTTACGTTGATCTGTCCCAAACGTGGATAATCTATCGAAATATATCGGACTCAAATTCTATAGTAATTGGAATTAGAATAAGGGTGACAAACAAGCACACGTTTACATGATGGTAAGAGGATGCTGTGATACATAGGCCCGTATTTATAAACATTACTCAGCTCAAGTACACGCACTTGAGTACAATCTTGAGGTTATGATCTTATTAATAAACATATCTCAAGATGCTTAGGCTTACGATATCAGCTGAGTGACGCACTGATTAATAAACGAAACTCGCATCTCGAGTGTGTGTATTTGAGATGCTAAAATCTCAGTGCGGACAGTCCGTGACTTAAGATCGTGATTGTTGCCATGGAGATTGAAAATATTTTAAGAAAAATTAATTATTACGACGACATTGAGTACAATGACGATATTTTACGGCCTTCGCGATATCGTTTACCAAAAATTTATATAAGTGATGTCTCCGATTCTTTTAAGTTACGAAGTGATCATTTTAAGAAACGATACAGATTTAGTCAAGAATCAGTAATATTACAACATTATTAAAGACTCATTGATGAAATACGAGAGGTTTTCCATTTTCCTCAGAAATAGCCATCTTATTAACTTTAAGGCTTTTTGCCACAGCATCATTTCAGTTATGTACATATTTTATATTTATTTAAGTAGGTATAATTTATTTCATTATTTAAATTAATATAATATATTTAATTTTAAAGTAGGTAATTAAGGCATCTACGATTTGTACGATTTGTGAGATTAAATTAACGTCATGACTAGGTACAATTAGGTAGAAATTCAGATACTGATGTTATAATGTTTAAAAAGTGATATTTGTAGTACTATAATTAATTACCTACCTGGCTAGAGATGCGTATTGACTAGCGTTGTGTTCTACAGTTATTTTGCTCCAGGTCTCATTTTTAACACGCAGAGATGTGCCATCGGTCTCTTTATTTTCCACTACAGCCTTATATTTTTTTAGCATTTGCAAAGCATTTTTGCTCAACCGGAGTAAATACATGCTTCTTGCTTTCTATTTTTGTATAAATTAAATTTCCCGCAAGATCAAAGTTAAGTAATCAAGATGTTTTCCAAAATTAAAAAATGATACGTCAGTTTTATATTTGACACTGGCACTGTCGTCGCTTTAATGCGTTAGGTTATTTGTACATATTGAATTAAGTAGTAAACATTTAGTCCGTATTTAGAATTATATAAATAATAGTTTTAATAATTTAAGGTTTTCGAAAATAGAACACAACTTTATGACGTGGTACAGCTCTATTTATTTAAGATTTATCAAAATAAAAGTGTACAATAAATCTCAAGATATAGCAAAAACAAAACGTAATGAATGATATTCTAAACATCGGTCTATGTGACGTAATCATTCACGAGATCAAGCCCTCAAGTCACAGAACAGTATTCCTACAGCGTACAGCGTTTTGAGATACAGTTTTTATGTGTTTATTAAGCCCCGGATACACTAGGGGACATTATGTCCCGCAACATGACGTGGAACACTCAATCTACGTGACGATGCAACGTTGCAAGTGACCCGCAACATTTTACGTGACGCGGGACATGTTGCTTGTTCCCTCTCGGAGACCGAGCGAACGTGTCCCGCGTCAGTGTCGCGCCACTTGATACCGGGTGTAATCGTGTGCGCAACCTGTCTTGCAACATGTCAGTAGTGTGGGGAAAAGGAACCTGAGCTTTATCAGAGTCATGTTTTGTTGTGGGATTCTAACTATTAACTACCGATCAGTTGTTTCGACACTCGAAAAGTGTACGACAAGGAAGCATAAGAATCTCCAGTCGACAAGTATCTTAATGTAATGGGAAGTCTGATATCTGGGCCAACATCGTGTCTTGTAGCCAGTGTGTATTATTTCCTGTTTGGTTATGTAAGGTCTGATCATTTGTTATAAAGTCTCAAAATCAGATGTTAACATTCGAGTAAAATTCACAAAAGATCCGTCAGAAAAAGCCCCAGACATTCGAGGATCACTTATAATATTAATTCTTTTTTTCTTCTCGTTGGAGTAAGAAATTCCGCAACCACCACCTTCTCTTTCGCTTACGTTTCACTCCCGAAATAAGTAATCGCCACAACCTCCTCGGGCGACATTTCTATAGGCACTGACTAGTGTGGCCTGCAAAAAGTTCATGACATATGTCTCGGGACATTCCCACGTAGTTGTTGAGCGACACGTTGTGCAACATGCCGCTCCTTTTCTCCCCAAGTATATCCAAGGCTTTAATTAGCAACGATCTTTAGATACTGATATCGTAATGAGGGCGTATTAAATGATTACGCACTTGAGTCCGTCGTTGAGTAAAGTTTATTAATACGGGCCATAGACATCTAACCTCAATTAAGAATCAAAATGTAGTTGCGTTTTCACCTCTGAGTCAGTCAAAGATGGAATGCCTCGTTTCTAGTAAAAAGGGTCTCCGGTTCTCCAAAATCACCATACTATACACAACAGCATTAAGCTGCTATTTTACACTGGTATCCTGTAAATGCGTGGTCTTTCTCCGATCGAGCCGACCCATTCGTGCTACATCATATAGCTGCAGCATGGCTCTACGATATATAAAATATCTATAGTTTAAAAAGAGACTGAAGATATAGAGAAACCGAAGAAACCTTAACATTTTAATTATGATATTGTGTTTATTTTAATGTAAATATTAATTATGTATGAATGCAGAATAAAAACTTACAGTGACATTGTCAGCGGACTTATCTACACTAGGCTTGATTACATCAACTTCATCAGTAGGTGTCTCAGGTGCGTCAACAGCGAGACCGGTGGTCATGAACTCTGCGATTTTGTTCAGGAAATCCATCGCCAAAATCAGATTGAAACTGAATATTCGCATATCGACTGAAAAAAATATATACATAGCAACTCATTTTGTCAATGTATGTAGATATTTAATTGTATTAGGTAAATTATATTAATTTTTTTTTGTTAAAAAAGGATTTATTTTCTTTACACAAAAGACGGTCAAGAGTGAGTAGGACTATAGGTTTGCCTAAAAGTGTGCCTGTGTAATTAACAATAATTAATTAAAAAGTAAGAGAGTCCCTAACTCAGGATATGTAATGTCTGTAAAATTCGTTAGTCGATAGTCATTCTGCCATGTACTGGATTTTATAAAATTTTCGTGCCATTCCCCAGTGTGAACTTCAATTACAAAACTAAATGTGGGATAATTTCTCTAACAACATACAACTTAATGATCCAGTATAATATTGCGTTCAAGTTGCTGCTACGCGCACTTGAATGTTTTATACTATCATCAGAAAGCAATGCGCTTCTCAACTAAATTGCTATCGCTCCAGTACAAACAGCATCCTGAGTGTATTTAACAACGTGTGGGACTCGTCAATGCTGTGGGCGTCTGTATATCGAATAATTTAAAATTAAAAATTTTGTACAGCCGACTTACTACAAAATAAGTTATTAAGAATAACTCAAATAACTCAAAAACTATTTGTCTAACCTTGATCAAATTCATATGGGACCACACGAGAAGTATCAGCTTTCATATAAAAAAAGAATCATCGAAATCGGTTCACTCAGTAAAAAGTTATGAGGTAACACACATAAAAAAACATACGCGTCGGATTGAGTACCGTCTGCTTTTGGAAATCGGCAGAAAAGCAGTGTCACGTAGGTTATGTGGGGCATGCTAAAGATCTCTTACTTAACCATCTGCACCAATATATATAAAAGTGATATAAAAAATATACTTTCATTTTTTTTTTGCTTTTACTAACATAGGATAAATTCATTTAATTAAAATTGTTACTAACAAAGTAATGAATCTGGTCTGAAATAAATTCATTCATTCAATTGAAATTACAATTCATTTTAAAATAAACTTACTAAATGTATCAGAATTCTTCATAGTATAGGTAATGTCTATCATGCTGCGTATCTTATCGTGGGCCTCCATGATCGAATCTGGATCTTCGGTTTGGTCTAGTAGTGGTTCCTTATTATCACGCCGACGCTCAAGATACCTTTATCAGAGAAAATAAAAATCTCACTAGCAACATAGACAACGTACAATAATATATTCAACTTTTAATAATACATTGAATATTTTTAGATTTCATTGTAAAATTTTATGCATTTACTTAGAAAAGACTTTTTGATTTTGGGAACAAGACAAAAGAGCTGTTTTATATTAAACACATTTATATTTTGCCGTAGGTACTTAATATTTACAAGCATAAATAATAATAGAAGTATCAAAATATTAGTACTCTGGAAAAGTTCGCGTAGTATTCGCGAGTCTCAAGTCATAGAACCCGTATCCCTTGTTTTTGCAAAGTAGAATACTATTTTCAAATCTGCTGTAGATCCCCACAACAATACATAATAGAACAAGATACTGTGGAAGTGAGCAAAGTAGAGTTAATTAGTTGTTACTGCATCAGTCAGCTTTCTAATCCTTCTAGTAGCGAAGACTGCAGAAATTTCGAAGAATCAATGTGTTTCCCCACTGGAGCTTGGAATCGAATGAAATCTTAGAAATACACTTAACTTTTCGAAATCTAAATTATGATTTTGTACATTGTTGTGTACATTCTGCGGCAATTTAGTGTAAACTGTAAACATTTTCTTTTTCTGTTTGGAAGCAAATTGTTTGTGTGTGGTTGGGCCGTTCCAGTGCGAAATGGTTTCTTATAACTTTAAATAATAATAAGATATCACCAGCAAATATACCTATCTCAGACATTTTTGTACTATACTCATAACACAGTTACCGTGTGATCTTCGCGCCTCGTCCAGGCCTAGTGTCGTCCAAAGTGCAGTCGACCAGCAGAACGGAGGTGTGCATGGAACCGTCAGAGAACATCCGTCCTTTCACTGAGAGTAGTGCGAGACAGAAGCGAGCCAGATCTACATCATTACCGCTCAGTGTGCTATCCAACTAAAAATAATAGAATGAAAATTGAAAACACCTAATTAGTACTAATGTTAAATAATAGAATTTTTTTATAGGATATGGGTGACAATCGAGCACGCAGTCCACAAGTGGTTGCTGTGGCCCATAGACATCTTAAATCTATCCTCGTTTGTGAATTTAAACGGAGATACGTTGTCAGCCAGAACTAAGATGAAATGTCTGTTTTCCAGTAAAAAGGGTATCCGGTTCTCTACACTCACCATACGAAACACAGCAGCATTAAGCTTCTATTTTACGCTGGTATTCTGTGATAACGTGATTCTTTTCCGGTCGAGCTGACCCATTCGTGCTACAACAACTATACAGTAATATAGCCGCAGCATGGTTCTACCACATATAAGTTCAGTTCTCCAGTCCAATTATGATCACAGGCTTAAATTCAAAGCATTACCAGTAGCTGGAGAAGATATTATTATATAGATAAATATAGATTGTTGTAACGCTTATGGGATAAGATTGTAAGTAGGTAGAATGAGGTGGGTTTGTCCAACTAGTTCTAACACATGGTACCGTGTATATGTGGGAATGTGCCAACTGTGTTATTTGCATAGCATGTCGTAAAAGGCCACTAATACGATATTTAGTTTGTGATTTTGTAAGTGATGGCCTAGCCATCTATCACTTCATTCACAATTTTCCATCTAAACCAATATTCTTTGGCTAAACGTGATCTGATTATCTATTTGCTCTTCGGACTCTTCCTAACCCCTCGAGGATTACAAGCGCGATGTTATGTATATATGTAACAAAATGTACACTTCTTTTTTCAATTAACTATTGAAATTAAAAAACATCTCAATTTCAATAGAGAAGACGACTGATTGGGATCCCATACTTGATAAAATTAAATCTAAGCCCAAGCGTACTACTGCAAGACTACAAGATACTGTAAGCTCGTTCTACGTAGATTGCAAAGATTAATATTTAAAAGTTGAAGGTAATCTTCGTTAACTATGACATCAGGATGTCAAACAGCTCAGTCCTCGCGTGACCAGAGTGATGTAAAGCGCCCGAAACGCTCGGGAATTCAAGTTAATATAAACGCGATAAAATCCGTAAAATTAGTTTCATTAAGTCTTTAGTCAAAATTGAAATTGAAAATATACTCACATCTATAGTATTCTTAAGATCAATGACAAAGCTGTCCATAGTAAAGGCGAACTTTATAGTAGTCCTTGGCTTCTTGTCTTCCGTGGGAGTTACAGGAGTCGAAGTTGCTTTGACTTGTACTTTGCTAATTTGAGTTTTGACCGCTGCTTTAGATGTGGCCTTTGGTACATTCTGAGCGGCTTTTATCTCTTCTGCTTTCTTCTGGCCCTCTTGTAGATTTTGATTTAATATTTTCATTATGCTTTTGTAGTCGCTGTGGCCTACTGTGATCTGTAATAATCACTTCGATTTATTTATAAATACCAAACATATAATAACAAAATTTATTTTATTACGTGATATAAAAGTAGAAAAGTAAGCGCGCAAATTTGTTTCGTGTTTATATATTCCACCTTACTTATAATCGGTTAAATTATCCCTTACTTAACTATTAATTATCTCTATATCTGTATCTTTCTTTATTATTGTAATTTGCTAAAGCGAAGGAGAGCATATGTAAGCATTTTTTGTGTGTCCGTATGTCTTTAAATAAAGATATAAAATTAGTGTTAAATAAACAAAATCTGAACTTGAAAATGACTTAATATGAAATTGTATGTAGTAATCCCAGACTGAGCTATTAAAATTGAATTAAGATAATTTAAAATTAAAAATTTTGTACAGCCGATTTCAATATAAGCGACTTCAATATAGGTTATTTAAGAATAACTCAATAACCATTGGTCTGACCTTGATCAAATTCATCTGGGACCACACGAGAACTATCAGCTTTCATATAAAAAAAGAATCATCGAAATCGGTTCGCCCAGTACAAAGTCATAAGGTAACACACATAAAAACAAAACATACAGTCGATTTGAGTACCGTCTCCTTTTTGGAAGTCGGCAGAAAACAAACCCAAAACGAACAAAACGTTGGATGTTATCAATAACCATCAACCACATATTTCTTTTATAAAAACTACTCACAGCTATTGTCTTCATCCTTCCGGAAATGTCTAAATCAGGCAATGTTTCATACCATTGCGACAGGCTACGTTTAACAAACAGCTTAAAACTGGTCGGTCGCAACAGCTTCCGTTCGGAAGCTATATCCTGGTAGTTGTCTTTGAGCACAACACACGATAGCTTCATATCTTCGAGTTCGAGCGTTAGTTCGTCTACTGTCACTTTGTTGCTAACGTCCTGTTAGAACATAATTAAAAAGTAAAATAACTAATGTATAGGTAACATATGAAAGTATTAAAATGCAAAGAAATTATTTCTAGTCCGATATTTAAAAACTTAAAATGAAACAGTTTACATAACGATTTCTTATATTTACGCAAATACTACACACGGAATAAAACTAATTTTGCTGATTTTAGCGCGTTTAATTATAATTTTTTTAAATTCCTCCACTATGTAAAATTGTGATCCAAATTAATTCATCATCGTATAAATTGGCGAACACTTTCGTCAACACTTGGTAAAAATAATGTCATCACTGAAAGGACACAAAAGAGCACATACAAAGGATTCATACCATTTTGTCAATTAAACTATAGTAAGTTTTGATGTCTAGTCATTATTTACATGCCTATTGAAGGCTGTATCTCAATTGTAACTAGGAAGCTAAAAGAAAATAAAACGCCCACACAATATGCAGTATTACTCAGACATTACCTAACAACTGGAATCTATTGTGGAAGGAAGAGTTCAACAAGCAGGTAGATGGTGTGGCAAAGGGCTCACATATATCTCCCATTGTCGCCGATATATTCATGGAAGACTTTGAGAAGAAAGCCCTTCTTACTGCACCTATAAATCCAAGATTCTACATGCGGTACGTAGAAGATACTTTCACAATTTTACCATCATACAATGTTACTGCATTCTTAGACCACCTTCACTCCGTAAACTCTAAAATTCAATTAACTATGGAATTAGAGGTAAATAATTCTTTATTTTCTAGATGTTTTAGTAATTCGAAATCCTAATAACACCATCGGTCATACTGTGTATAGAAAAAGAACCATACTATCGATATTTAAACGGTGAAACTCACCACTATCCTTCGTAATTAGCTACCGTGAGAACATCTTTGTTTTAGAGAGCACAAGTAATCTGTGACAGTAAACCGCCGCCGAGCTCCACGTCAAACAAATTTTGCTCGACAACAAGCGTCGGTGACCGAGTGAAACCGGCCACAGTCGAGCGTGTGCCTGCTGTACTACTATATGTCAGAGGAGTCACAGACAAGATTCGTTACATCTTGAAGCAGGTTTCCATAAAAACATACTACAAACCGCCGAAAAAGATTAGTCAGTTCTTACCATTATTTGTTAAGTGTAATATCCTTCTACAAGATGCAGTAGTGTACAAGCTTTTGAATGTGGTCTGTCTTACATAGAACAAACAAAAAGATCCATAGAAATATAATATAACCCGCGAATAAGAACATATAGCTGATGTAAAGCACCGACGCTCCAGGAAGTCTGCGGTATGTCAACATGTTCATGATCGTCCCATCCATTATATCACATTTGATAGACCTCAAATCCTCCCAAAAGAACACCGATTCCTACTAAGGATGATTCGTGAGGATACTGATATTTAAAAAAAATCCTTATTTTAATAAAGAAGACTACTATCGTAAGCAGTAAGTTCGTTCTGCGTAGATCGTACCAAAATTTTATAGTTAAAAGTTGAAGGTAACCTTCGTTAACTACATGTCGACGTTAAACACCTCAGTCTCCCCTTGTCCAGTAAAGTGCCTGAAACTTCGGGGATTTAAAAAGTAAAAATTAAACGTGATAAAATCCGTAAAATTAGTTTTTTCTGCTAAACCGTTTTAGCTATGACATCATGATGTCAAATAGTTTATCTCTTATGTTAACATCGGAGCTGCAAAGAACTCGAAACGTAAGAGAATCCACTACCTATACGAGTATCAATCAACCTGTGGATGTAGTAAGAGGCGGCGAAGGGAAACGAAATAAGAGATGCCTAGCAGCATCTCTCTGATTACAACCTAATAATAATATTGAGAAAAAATGCAGGTCTTACACCATATAATCTTATTTGATGTGTCACATTGCGAAGTTTTGGGAAAATCTGACGACAGTTTGACGCAGCGGATAGTTGATAGTGATAGTATCTCAAGTCGCCTAAGGGAATAAAAAAGACCTTCGAATTCATTTTGTCATTGGAGCACTTGTTGCATTCGCATTCGCTAATAGTACACTCGTTTTAACATTTAATACATAAAATCGCGCTACTTTTACGTATCAAAGTCCATTTCAAATTATTACATAAACGATAATACGGGAACAACAATCCGCCGGCGGTGAAGTGAGTAATATGTTATAATATTAGTAGGCGGGGGGGGACTGACGGCGACGGGCAGGTCGACGAAGTTGTTGTTGAGCGTCATGCGGCCGAGGTCGACGAGCAGCGCGTGGCGGCTGGCGCAGTTCTCGGGCACGACGACGATGGGCGCGGCCAGGCGCACGCGCAGCGCCAGCTTGGTGAGGTTCTGGTACGCGCTCTGCACGTTGGCGCGCGCCGCGTCCGCCGCCTGCGACGACGCCTCGATGATCGCCGCTTGCGCGCTTTGGAAGTTGTTCAGGAACTCCTGCACCAAACAACACACAACTATACTTTTAATTAACCCTTGGATCATATAAATACGTATCCCGTGCGAGATTCGAACCCGCGGGCCTAAGAGCCGTAACTCATTGCTAAACCGCTGCGCCACGGAGACTTCAAAGTACAACTTAAAACTTTTTCTTACGGCGGCTCTTCACGTTGGCCAACACACTGGCTAATGTGTTGGCCAACAACGATGGCCATCGTGTAGAGCGGGTGTTGGTACGTATTGGAACGATGGCCCACAAATTGGCGCGAGATCCGTCTGGTGTCGGTTTTTTACAAAAGATCAAAGGGTAGTGGCAGAGTATTGGCCGCCGCGTCCACACGTTGGCCGCACGTTCAGTTTGCTACGAGCTCCCAGAGTGAATGCATGCACCTGATTTAAATTTTATATGCAGGCAATAGTGTCTACATAACGGTAGTAACAATGACCAATGAAAAAACTTTTCGATTTATAGAGCCCTACCAAGCCGAAAATTGTTTGTAAAACACGTCTTTTTTTAAAAAAATATTATTATACACTAGGATTTTCTCCTGTATCGTGGAGGCAGTTTAGAAACATAAATTGCATAAGGACAAACATCCAGACCCGGAGAAATTATGTGCAAGCTATACAAATACTTGTTCCGTGCAGGATTCGAACCCGCGGCCCCCAAGGCAGCAACTCATTGCTAAGCTACTACGCCACGGAGCCGTCAAGAAATAAAATTTCTTTTTTCCATTTCTTTTTGATCACCCTTATCTTAGACACATTCACGTTGTAGTGATTAATTGTGTATTAATTTATTTATTGATGTATTAATTGATTTATAAAATATCTTAAAATCTAATATATAATATATATTAAAATCAAATTGAAAAGTAGGATACTAAAATCATGTTTTTACTGTCTTTATTATTCCCTATTAGTTACTTTATTTCGTTAATAATACTGTAATTTTTAGCTATGGAAGAGCGAAGTCACCTGTTACAGGCATTATTTTGCTTATTAGGTGACCTCGATCACTGATCATATAATGTAACTTTAATGTTTGACGAAATAAATTATTTATTATTATTATTAAGTTCGCCATATGTACTACTTTGTGCATGAAAGTGTAAATAAATAAATATATTCTATAATTATATAATAACCCTTTTAAAAAAGTTTTGTTTAATAAAAATTTTACAACAGTTTCATAGACAGGCTTCGAATATTTTCCAGGCCTTAGTTAATTATACCTATGCCTAGGTGTGTTAATGTTTATATAGTTTACTTATCTGTATAACGTTAGTGTATAATAAAGAAATATTAAAAATTTATATTAAAAATAATATTAAATATTAAAAATAGTGAAAATTAAATAAAGAAATAGTGGTATGCTGTGAATAAATAAACCGCAGCAGCCGTTAGCGCATCAATAATCATTTTAATAAATTCGTCCGCACATTGGCCTGAACCAAAGCAAACTGAACGACCTTCCAACGTGTGGACGCGATCACAATTTCTTGGCCAATAACTCTTCCAACACATTCGCCACTGTGTTGACCAACGTGAAGAGGCGCCATTACGTTCAAACGGCTGGCTATAGTTAATAAGTAAAAATACGGTGCCCAAACATTAGTACTTCGCAGAAAAAAAATGGGATAGATATTATTGTAGTAATATGTACTACGTACTAGAATACACAGCTAGACTTGTTTGTTTGCAACACTTGTGACAGTAGACGGGCTCTAACTCGATTAGGCTGAACTAGGCGGTTGCCGCGATGTAACATGTTTGAGGACTAACATAAGCCTAATAAAATTGCCTTCATGCGCACTAAGATGCTACTATTCAATGGACAAAAGTGACTTATTAAACTTAAGTGAATAATACATATAAGTCAATAAATTTATCGCATTTGTTAAATTGCTTCATCAAAAATTTCGCAAAAAAATTTTGCAAAAATTAAAATAACCTGCTATGTTTCCTTACAATAATTCATTACCAATATAAACAAAGTGTCACGTTTGTTTAGCTACGAGTATATTGCATTTTAGACTCCCACTTCCAAACGACCCTCATTCTAATCTAAATAAATATATTTGTAAATAAAACGCAATATTGAAAATCTTTGTTAATAAATGTATTATATTTTTTTATGTTTTACATAGTTATATATATCTTAATATTGAAATAAAAATATCGTAAAAATGTAATTCAAAATAAATGACAAATTTTAATATATTGTACTCGATATAATTAACAAAACGATCTAAATAAATAATAACTAAATACTGATCAGTACTTAATCCATGATGAACACGCATGCGCGACTTTCACTTCCACCAACCACGCATGCGCGACACTACTATTCCTCGCGCATGGGCGAAAACGTAGGTTATTCTATACAGGGTTATTTTTTAAAGGGTGGCCAAATTTTAAACTTGAATTCAAATATATAAGTAATGAAATACTGTTACTGCCGTTTTTGAAAATACGAGTAATTAAGGCTTCTAATTTTATTTAAAATTATCCCAAATTAAATGTGATTTATGGGCAACAACTCATGTACGTGCGCTGCTGTGTGCATTTCAATACACAACGTTTTTGCCGACCGATCGATACTTACGAATGTATGCGTGCATAGTAAAATAGTAGGCGTTAGATATTTATTAATCAAATTAGTTAAAATAATGCATTACCACGTATTTTGAATTAAAAAGGAATAAATGTTTGAGATTTTTTAATTAATTTTTCTTTAGGATTTGCCTATATTACTTATTCTGAACCTTCTCTGCAAATCTGGCCGGTTATTGCAAAAACAAATCCTGTATAGCTATTCTCGTACATAAGTACATTATACTTCAATGATAGATGTTAATGATTTAATCACTTTATTCTGATTTCTATATCATTTTAGTAAACACTAACGTTTTGGTTAAGAAATTTAGTTATCCGGCATGCATATTCTGTGTAGTGGCGATGTAAGAATTTCCCCAACCCCATGTGTCGTAAGAGGCTAAAGAGGGAAACAGACCCCGAGAAGGGCGACAACGTCTTCCTAATAACAACTAAAAATAAAACTGTGGTTACCACCAACCCGCGTGCCAAGCGTGGCCACTATGGTGAATATCCTTCATGTAAGGCGTCTATGGGGGAGAACTATCTTCAACAATGGACTTTAATAAGCTGTAAAGGTAATGGTATATTCTTGGTAATACAGCATTTAAAAATACGAAGCCATACTTTTGGATACTCATAGACATTATTCTTTCTAACTTTCACGTTCACTCACTCTCTCTCTCTTTTGGTCAATTTTTTTCTTCTTATAACCTTGAGGGAACTAAAATATATTACTCACCAACATAGATGTCACGAACCAATTGAGAAAGACTATACGTAAACAGTTGATTTGTGCCTCTATCGACATATTGACGTCGCTCACGGTCGGGTATTGGTCCAAATTGTACATAACTATTTGCACGTTCATAACATCTCCACCAAGCACTTTAAGAATCTGCATAGAAAACATAACAATATACTATTTATTTTACATATTTCTTATATATAAAGGTTTATTTAACCACTAATTGAAATAGCAAAAAACCACATCTATGTGGTGACAATATCAGAAAATCTACTTATCTAGTCGACTTGTGTGCATTATTAGAGTCGACTTGGTGAAATACCCATTTCAGATAAATGTTCATTACCATCTTATATAATATGCCAGATGTTAAAAACCCCAAAATGGTAATGGAGTGAAACAACAAACGGACGAGACATTTGACAAGACAAGAATTTATGTGTTTATGGCAATTCCCCTGCTATTTGAGAAACTTACATACTGCAATGAAATAAGTACAAACTGGAGAAGATGAGAACGCATACATAAAAGTTCATAACAGCAATGGTTCTGTTCTTGTTTGTATTTTACTATCAGTATTGAGACACACTACACTCAGTGCGTAGTTAAAACGAAGTATAAGAAGTCGTAAAAATGGCACAGACAACAGAATAGGGTATTACACCCATTTTCAAAAAGTGTTTTAAATGAATCTTAAAGTGATAATGAAACACTATAATTTTTATATAATTTTTTATAAAACCGAATAGTGACATAAAAATTACTTTTAATCTATCGTTTTAAATTTTCGCGTAAAAACGCTAGCCGCCATACTGTTCAACTCGTGACGTCACTGTCCTAGAATTTTGATAATTTTGCTACTTTTGAATGTTTAATAATGAGTTATCATCTATATCATTGTTGTGTTGTGCCTGATTGCAAAAATACGAGCATAAGAACGCCGGGGAATTTACGGATTAAAGTGCCAACTGATTTAAATATGCGAAATGCTTGGTTAAACTGGCAAGAAGAGACCCGAAAGCACTGTCTACAAAATCTAAACTATACTTCTGTGAAGATCACTTTGATGTAAGTATGACTTATATTTAACTATCGATTAAACAAAACAAAACATCTTGACGTGATAGGTACCTATTGCAAGTCAAATTTTGTAATAGATTAGATTAATCGCTCGACTGTCCCGCCCTTTGTGGGCCATTTTGATAGCCCTTGCAAGTGCAGTGCAGTGTTTTACTTAATTCCTGTTTTCTTCTATTATATGGGAATAAAGACATGGTTTGTACTCAGACCAAATAAATGACTTTTTATTTCGTCTGAGGGTTTGTACAAAAAATATAACAAAAAGTTTTTCTCACCTAAGCTTATATTATAATATTTATAACATTAGTGCTAAAAGCGAAGTAATAAGCTCGCATTTACGAATCCGTCTTCCATGATACCTTTTCAATAAGATTCGGAATAAAAGTCAACAATCGTAATGATAACTTGAAAAAATTCGAAATTAGCTAGTTAGTACTCAGCACATAACCTAGTTCTTTGACCTAGTGACGTCACGACGCTATCTAATATGGCGGACATCGTTATGCAGATTTGAGACCCAGGTAAAAAAAAATATTATTTAAATTGAAATATAAAATTTATAATGCATTTTTATAAATAGAAATCTATATTTCTCGTTTACTTTTACAAAATCTATCATAAATATATATTCTTTGATTTTTTTTACATGCTGTAAAATACCCTATTCAAGTTAAGGGCATTGTTCTTGCAAAAAACAACTTTTTCGGTATGAATAATACATTCTTCTCTCAATCTTACGGCTAGTATAAGGATTAAGGGCAGCACTATAAGAATATTTCAAAGCAAAAGTAGCTTACAACCCACCTCTTTATGAACAGTTTCTGGATTGAGATCCTCCACTTTAATGGAGGCGATCGTACAATCGACTTGCGTGTATGAACTCTTCAATATGAGGCCTGCTTTGGCACCTTGTAATTTCACAATGGATATCGGCCGCCTATCAGTCTCAAATCCAATCTCTACTGCCCCAATCTTAACGTTTATTTTCAATTGTATACTCTCCACTTGTTTACGACGGACTGGTTTTGAAATGCTAGCTGTAAACGTTAAAATATATAGAAATCTGATGTGTATGAAACAAGACTCGTAATGCTTTCAATTTACATTAGCAAGTAAAACCTAATTCATGTCCATGGTTTGCCCGTAATTCAAATTCAGTCCCCGTTTAGGTGAAAACAGCATTACATATTATAAATATAATCTACCTCTTATTAAACCTACAAAAACTTGTTTAAGAGCAACCTAAAAAGAATAACATTGTGGTGAGGTTGGGAAGTGAGGAAAACATTGTTACAGTGCTGTTTCTGTTAATTTGTGACTTGGAATTTGGTATCCATTAATAGCCATTATCCAATTTTATAATGATGTGTAAAATAACATCATTGTCCAAAATATTTAAAATAAAATTAATGTTACAATTAAGATATGTACCTTTAGATTTGGCAACAGAGAACTCTTCATCTTCCATGATCGTCTCTAAGGGACCAGCATTTGCATATCTGTCAACCTTGCTTTGGATAGCTTGCAAACGTGTCTACGGAAAAACCACAAAGAGTAACAATTAACATAACTCATAAGATATTACTGTGTAAAATGAATATTATTGTTATCAATTAAGAAATTGCAACAAATAATTAACAAATACCTGGTATTCATTAATAATAATGAGTATTTCTTGTAAGCCTTGGAGATGCAGCAAAACTCTTAAAGTGGTGAAATCCAGCTCAATCAGTTGCTCAATTGATCCATAATAACTTCGGAATTCAGGACATTTTTTATCAACCTACAACGCCATATAATATTTTAGAAAATATCATAATAAACAGCAGATATTGTATGTAAAACTGATGTGAGAACTTTTTCTTTAATGTCAAACTTACAACTATGTGGTATGGGCTGTTAATGAAAATAATACTGCCGACAAAAATGTACCTCCATTTCCATTTAAAAAGCTGAATGAAATCACATGCGACAAAAGCCAAATAAAGTTCATTATCATAATTATAAATTTAGGTAAAAGCTGTAATCCAAATAATGTTTGCATGTAAATGTTTATTGCTATGTAAAGTCCCGAAAAAACATCCACTCAGCAAGATTTTTATTTTGTTGGTCAGGTTATTGGAAATTACCGTGTTATTAGTTATTAGTTATTACGGATAAGGTTGAGGAATAAGTTTCTTCGTATTTCATATACAAATAAAAGACTTTTTTTTTTCAATGTTTAATTACATTTAATTATAAATGTAATTAAAGATTTAAAATATATATGTACCATCTTGTAGGTAGTGACATATTCCCATTGCTGTTTTGATCAAAAAAATGCGACAAGTAGCTTTGACAATCCTCTCTTGATGTTAACCTAACAATACCCAAAGGATTCTGATGATACCGAAACAGGTGAAAATCTGAAGGTCAGGGCCATGGTCATGGCCATATAAGTCATTGCATTAACACTTCCCAGTCAAGCTGTCTCAATTTTTGCTGAGTGCCTTTTGAAGCTGCCACCTCACCTAAGCTTGTAGATTGGAGCATCAAGGTCGTTGTAGACGGTGCATGCTCTGACTACAAGCCTATTAACACTGGTGTTCCACAAGGCTGTGTGCTATCACCAACGCTGTTTCTTCTGCATATCAATGATATGTTGCTAACTGGTAACATTCATTGCTATGCGGATGACAGCACTGGTGATGCTCTATACACCGGCCGTGCCAATATTTCTCGGGAAAACGTCGCTGAGTACCGGAACAAACTTGTGTCTGAAGTCGAGTCTTTGCAGAACAAAGTCTCGGATTGGGGGCGACTAAATCTAGTCCAATTTAATCCTCAGAAGACACAAGTTTGCGCGTTTACCGCTAAAAAGAACCCCTTTGTCGTATCTCCTCAGTTTCAAGGCACTCCCCTTCTTGTCTCAGCCAGTATCGGTATCCTCGGAGTCGACATAGCGAGTGACGTGCAGTTTCGTGGTCACTTGGAAGGGAAGGCCAAATTGGCCTCTAAAAAGCTTGGCGTGCTCAGCAGAGCGGGACAGTATTTCATGCCGGCACACCGCCTGCTACTTTACAAGGCGCAAGTTCGGCCTCACATGGAATACTGTTCCCATCTCTGGGCAGGGGCTCCCCAGTGCCAGCTCCTTCCACTTGACCGCATCCAACGCAGAGCGGCTCGAATTGTCGACGACCGAGCCCTTTCCGATCGGCTCGATTCATTGGCACTGCGAAGAGATGTTGCATCCCTTTGCATTTTCTTTCGCATCTACCATGGGGAGTGCTCTGAGAAATTGTTCGGATTAATCCCAGCCGCCAAATTTCACGAACGCACATCGCGGCAGAACTCCCGATACCATCCACACCATCTGGATGATTGGCGGTCCACCACTGTGCGATTTAGAAGATGTTTTCTTCCTCGCACGACCTCCTTGTGGAATCGATTACCATCAGCGATTTTTCCGGACCGATACGACTTAGGGACCTTCAAGAAAAGAGCGTACTCCTTTTTAAAAGGCCGGCAACGCATCTGCGATTCCCCTGGTGTTGCAGTTGTTCATGGGCGGCGGTAGTCACTTACCATCAGGTGAGCCGCATGCTCGTTTGCCCCCTCTCCTATAAAAAAAAATAAAAAAATGGGCGGAGGCAGTAGAGTCCAAGGGGGAGGCATTGGCCGTTAGTTTGGACATTGCGAAGGCCTTCGATCGGGTTTGGCACAAAGCGCTTCTTTCAAAGCTCCCTTCCTATGGGCTTCCCGAGAAATTATGCAATTGGATCACCAGCTTTCTTGTAGATCGGAGCATCAAGGTCGTTGTAGACGGTGCATGCTCCGACTACAAGCCTATTAACGCTGGTGTTTCACAAGGCTGCGTGCTATCACCAACGCTGTTTCTTCTGCATATCAATGATATGTTGCAAGCCGGTAGCATTTATTGCTATGCGGATGACAGCACTGGTGATGTTCTATACACCGGCCGTGCCAATATTTCTCGGGAAAACGTCACCGAGTACCGGAACAAACTTGTGTCTGAAGTCGAGTCTTTGCTGGACAAAGTCTCGGATTGGGGGCGACTAAATCTAGTCCAGTTTAATCCTCAGAAGACACAAGCGTTTACCGCTAAAAAGAACCCCTTTGTCGTATCTCCTCAGTTTCAAGGTACTCCCCTTGTTGCCTCAGCCAGTATCGGAATCCTCGGCGTCGACATATCGAGTGACGTACAGTTTCGCGATCACTTGGAAGAGAAGGCAAATTGGCCTCTAAAAAGCTTGGCGTGCTCAGCAGAGCGGGACAGTATTTCATGCCAGCTCAACGCCTGCAACTTTACAAGGTGCAGGTTCGGCCTCACATGGAATACTGTTCCCATCTCTGGGCTGGGGCTCCCCAGTGCCAGCTCCTTCCACTTGACCGCATCCAACGCAGAGCGGCTCGAATCGTCGACGACCGAGCCCTTTCCGATCGGCTCGATTCATTGGCACTGCGAAGAGATGTTGCATCCCTTTGCATTTTCTTTCGCATCTACCATGGGGAGTGCTCTGAGGAATTGTTCGGATTAATCCCAGCCGCCAAATTTCACGAACGCACATCGCGGCAGAACTCCCGATACCATGCACACCATCTGGATGATTGGCGGTCCACCACTGTGCGATTTAGAACATGTTTTCTTGCTCGCACAACTTCCTTGTGGAATGGTTTACCACCAGCGATTTTTCCGGACCGATACGACTTAGGGACATTCAAGAAAAGAGCCTACTCCTTTTTAAAAGGCCGGCAACGCATCTGCAATTCCCCTGGTGTTGCGGCTGTTCATGGGCGGCGGTAGTCACTTACCATCAGGTGAGTCGCATGCTCGTTTGTCCTCTCCTATAAAAAAAACCTTATTGCGTGTTAATCCGGGTTTCGCTACAGTCTGTGGAGCATGACTATCCTTTGACTATGATCTTTTTCACACGTCCCTGTAGTGGGTGATCCATTTTTCATTACCAGTGATCAATCTTTTCAAAAATGGTTCGGTTTCATTACGTTTTAATAGAGAATCAAAAATTAGTACATGATTCATTAGGTTTCTGTCGGTGAGCTCGTGTTGTACCCATATATCGAACTTTTTTGTATAGCTAGACTTTTTCAAATGGGTCAAAACTGTTTTGTGGTCAATTCCCAATTCATCGGCTATGTGCCCATCTTGTTCCACTTTTTCAAAAATAGCATCGACTTGCTATTGACTTGATTGACTTGATGATGCAGTGCTTATTGCACCGTCAGAGGCAGAACTGCAGGCATTAGTCACGTGTATGAAAGAGGAATGTGAAATTAAAGGTCTCCGTTTGAATGCTAATAAAACTAAGGTTCTGGTATTTGAAAGGGACGAAGAGAGAACGAAGTGTGAAATATGGGTAAATCAGGAATGTCTAGAACAGGTAAATGAAATTGTATACTTGGGGAGTGCTTTTAGCCGGGATGGAAGATGTGATTTAGATGTGGACAGGCGTGTCGCTGCCGGGAACAAAGTCAATGGTGCCCTGGCTGCGTTAGTCAAAAGGCAAGGCGTAGCGAAGAGTGCACGCCTTGCAATACATAACGCAGTGTTGGTACCGACTTTGTTATATGGCAGCGAAACCTGGGTATGCCAGAAGAAGTAAGTTGAATGCAGTGGAGATGCGATCTCTTCGTAAAATGTGCGGCGTTACCATGGCCGACCGAAAGCGAAACGAAGAGATTCGCAATATGGCAGGTTTGAAAGATGACCTTATCACAAAAATTGATAAGGGCGTGCTTCGGTGGTTTGGGCACGTTGAGCGAATGACTGAAGACCGAATGGTGAAGAAAATATATAGCGCGAACGTTAATATTAAAAGGTGTCGAGGTAGACCGAGACTAACTTTCGAAGACCATGTGAGCAAATTGCTCGAAGAGGGTAGGGTCAAAAGTACTCGGATACTTAGACGTGCATGCATGAAGAAGATAATGAATCTGAAAGAAGCGAAAGAGGTATGTAAGGATCGTGACACTTGGCGATCTGTTCTCTCTGGCTACCCCGTCAGGGATTGTGCGTGAAGATAAGCATCGACTTTATCCGTATGAGGGCGACCAGAGCGATCTGCATTTTTGACATCAAAATTCCTGGACTGAAAATGCTTAAACGAACTTTGTGCTACTCTTACTAACACTGCATTAGGTCCATAAACGCCACAATTTTTTTTCGCAGCGTAAGTCACATTTTTCTGTTTTTTGTAAAAAACTTCAGAATGTATCGAATGTCTTCATTAAATTCACTCATTTTGGCGGACGGAAAAACAATTGGAAAATTGCGGGAAAGTGTTTTTTACTTTTATTTTTCTTTTTCTTAACGTGCTATATTGTATTGATATTACAACCAGCCAGATACAAACACTACTACCAAAGAGATTTTTCTTCAATTTTATACAAACAAAATACGAAAAAACTTTTTTCCCGACCTATTAATAATATATATATATATATAATGAATGTAAATATTAGGTAGCTTAAAAATATTATTTCAGCAGTATCAAAGATGGCTAATTAGGCTGTAAACCTACTTTTTTTATAAGTTCAGGCGATATATGGATGACATTCAAATAAGAAAAACAAAGCACTTACATTGCTATAAGTGACCGCAAACAAATATTTATTAGTCGTGACTGCACTGTCTGTACTGTCCACATTCGCAATACTCTGTACTTCTGGTGTCTCTATCATGTTTATGGTGCTAAAGCCAGTTCTATGATGTTGCATGTTCACAGCACCCAGCCTCACAGTCGCCTCCAGCGTAAACGTCTTTTGTGTGGCAGTCAGCTCGAGAAGTTTCAGCGAGAACACTAGGAATTTATCGTAAACCTGCGACGGGTCTACTGTCTTGCGATTGACGCTTAGAATCAGTTCTGCAAACAAAATAGATAAACGATAAAAATGCTACACTAGTGAACACGAATCTTGAAACCTGACTCATTTGGGCAGTAAAGAATTTTAAGTCTGAATTATATGAGGTATTGAGTTAATCACGGAGTTGATTGGCAGGTTCATTTATTTATTTAGAAAACCAACAGCTTTTAACAAAAACAATTACATCTAATTGGATTAACGTTAGGCTAGGTTTTACGTTACACAAATACATACATAACACTTTTAGTCTGAGAGCTGGCGACGAATTTTGGAAAGGTCCTATTGGTAAGTTAAAATTGTGAAAAAAGAATCTAGTCCCGCGAGTCTGGCAGCGCGTTTGCGGTTATTTTGTTCATCATCATCATCATTACAGCCCTTCACAAGTCCACTGCTGAACATAGGCCTCCCCCAAAGAATGCCACAAAGCACGGTCCTGAGCCACCTGCATCCATCGACTTCCTGCATATGTTATTTTGTTACTGCGCAGCATATAACATTTGCAAAAAAAATCAAAAAAAATTTTTTTTTGGCAACTTGATTTGTTTTATCTTATAATTTAGTTTTTATATAATTCAAAAAAAAATCCCAGACGTTTTTGTCGATTATAAAGTATTACCCCCATCAGCTGCCAACATGCCTTGATAAGCTATCTTTCTCGTACTTATGGCTGCGCATTAGACTTTTTTGTCGTATTCATTTGTAAACTTTATTCGCGTCTGGGAATTGTTTAAAACCGCTAAATTTGTATGGCGATTTGCAGGTATTATAAAAATTACTCAATAAATACGTGATTAAAAGTTGAGATTGCCAAAAGTATATTTTTTGGGAATGTTAATAAAATATTTTTGGAGAGGTCTGGTAATAATTATTTATAACCGACAAAAACGACTAAGATTATTTTTTTGAATTATATAAAAACTAAATTAAAAGATAAAAGAGAAATCAAGTTGCCAAAAACATTTTTTTAGATTATTATTCTTTTGCTAATGTTATATGTTTCGCAGTAACGATATACCTAACCGCAAACGCTCTGCCAGACTCGCGCGACTGGATTCGACAATTGACGAAATCATATTTTTTCACAATTTCAACTTGCCAAAACGACCTCGCAAAATTCGTCGTCAGCTCTCAGACTATATAGCCCCCGTTTCTATTGTTCTCAGCAATAGAATTAAAGCAAACCATTATACCCTAAAATGAAGTTAACATAAAAAGCAGGCTTTAGAGATTAGAATATTCAGTCAGTTAATATCTTAAGTGTCCAAAGTTTAAATTGACACTAAGTAGTATTTCCTTCATTTAGTCAGTTGGTTTACTTATTTAAAGTAGGAGTAATAATGTTGTGTCTGAATACATGATTAAATTACCTTTCATAATAAAGAATGCTTCAACTTCAGTCAGCTGAACAGTTTGTTCTTCATTTTTTCTTTGCTTAGACCTTGCAGTATCTCTCTTTTGTTTCTCGACTGGGTCCAAGTACTTCAGTAACGATAGACTTGACGCCTTTGAATCACTAGGCTGTAAACGATGATTAAGGTTATACTGTATCTTTGAATAATAAGACTAACAATACTCAATAAATAAAATCGTTATTAATATTGGGGCCCATTACACTTTTTTATAGAAGATGGGGCAAACGAGCATGCCGGCTCACTTGATGGTAAGTGACCAACCCCGCCCATGAACAACCGCAACACCAAGGGCAGGTGCGTTGCCGGCATTTTAGAAAGGAGTTAGCTCTTTTCTTGAAGGTCCCTAAGTCGTATCGGTCCGGAAACGTCGCCAGTGGTAAACAATTCCAGAGAATTTGTACGAGAACCGCCAAGCATCCAGATGGTAAGGATGGTATCGTGAAAATTGACACGATGTGCGTTCGTAAAATTTGGCGGCTGGAATTAATCCGAACAATTCCTCAGAGCACTCCGCGTGGTAGATGCGATAGAAAATGCAAAGGGATGCAATATCCCTACGCAGCGCCAGTGAATCGAGCCGATCAGAAAGAACTCGGTCGCCGACGACTCGAAACTTTTCGAACTTCGAACATTCGAACTTTATCGCAGATGCGATAAAGTGGAAGGAGCTGGCACTGGGGTGCTCCGGCTCAGAGATGAGAACGGTATTCCATGTGAGGCCGAACTTGCGCTTTATAAAGTTGCAAGCGATGTGAGGGCATGAAATACTGTCTCGCTCTACTGAGCACGCCAAGCTTTTTAGAGCCCAATTTGACCTTCTCTTCTAAGTGATCACGAAACTACACACTATTTGATATGTCGACGCCGAGGATTCCGATGCTAGCTGAGGCAGCAAGGCAGTGCCTTGAAACTGAGGAGATGCGACAAAGAAATATTCTCTTTAGCCGTAACACGCAAACTTGTGTCTTCTGGGGATTGAACTGGACTAGATTTAGTCGCCCCCAATCCGAGACTTTGTTCAACAACTTCAGACACAAGTTTGTCCCGGTACTCGGCGATGTTTTCCCGAGAAATTTTAGCACTGGACTCTACTGCCTCCGCCCATCTATGAGTCAGGTAGACCAGAAGATCACCACCTAATCGACACTGACGAAAACCGTATTGGTGGTCAATAATCAGATGGTGATCCTCAAGGTACCCCATGATCCGGCAGTTTATATCCACTATTGTATATGGAGTCCATCCATTATTATGGAGAACAAGGAGGTGATGGCGATAGGCCTGTAGTTGTACCGGTATGAGCGGTCGCCTTTTTTAGGAATCGGGTGGACCAAAGCTTTCTCTTACATGAATTCGGGATTACGCCTTGACTACGAGTAGGAATACCGGAAAAGACGCATTAATACCAGTGCCAACTCCGGAGCACACGTCTTCAGCACAATGGGAGGGATTCCACCAGGTCCACTCGATTTGCAGTGGTTCAGGGAGAGGAATGCTTTGCGAACCGAGGGCTGTGTAAACTGCACATCCGACATGGAGCACTCACACCGCGGGATGGTCGGCGCTGTGTTACCGCCGTCATCGAGTTGGACGCAAAGAGAGAGCGGCATGGGCCAGTGAGTCGTCCTCTCTGTGCAGAGATGAAAGAGATGGCTGACAGAAGATTCATTGGACAGCCTTAGCGAGAGACCAAAATGCACGGGTTCCCGAAGGAAGGCGAACTAGCTACTCCCCAATTCTGGCGATGTGTTCAGACATTGCCTCGGCAACGACTCTGAAGGACCTGGAAGCGGAATTATACTTCTTTTTAAGAGCGCTGGTGTTTACATTCCTAGAAGTTGATGCGTCAGCCCAGGCCCGGTAGCACTCCTGCTTATAGCGTGATGCTATTTTACGGGAGCGACCAAATAGTGGATGGGCACCACATAGCATGAAATAAAATGTTCCATACCCTGAAGTACCATATCAGTGACAGAATCAGTTGGGATCGTCCGGTGAGGAGCAAGCCCACCCCCAAGAGAAGGATGCAAAAAAAAGACAGCATCCTATCCCAATAGTCCAACCTACAATGCCAAACACGACGGCAGCCTGCAGAATGTAACCAAGATGTGTGTTGGTGGCACCACACTCCGGACAAAACAATGGTCCGACGAGCCTAGAGGGGCGTCGACAGAAATCTGATATCCGTCCGGATAAGAGGTCAGCAGAAGGTCCAACAGTGAAGTTGCATGATCCTCCACATCTGGAATCCGATGGTCGCCGCTGTCTACGCGTAGCCATAGCATGGACAGGTCCGTACCTTCAAGACTGCTGAGGCGTCGAAAACAGATGTCCTCTCTGATGTATACGCCCCTCCAGCCTGGGGTACAAAGGATTGTTCTAATGTATACCCCGGATAGGAGAGATATGAAGTATCAACCGGAGAGTCTCGGTTAAAAAGAACAAGGCCGGCTTCGCCGTCTCCAGATGGCAATGGACAGCGTTAAAGTTGGAATGAAGTCCCCTCATGTTGCAAAAATTCACGGATAGCGTGACAGAGGTCGCCTTAGTCTTATTGCTCCGCTTGCCCCGAGCAGTTTTAGTAGACGCCAAAATATCAAAATTTGACCTCCTAAATGTCTGCAAAGCACAGTACTGAGCAGTTCTGGAACTTTTCCATGCATGCCTGATCAGGTCGTCACTTCAGTAGTCTCATCACTGTGCTTGCAGGCAATAGCCATATTCTGCAACTCTAGCACCTTTCTATGGCCAAACATTTGTCATTTCAGATCATTACTATTAGACTATGGCGATATAGTTATAGTTACGGAATCTATTACATTGCAGGTTAAACTCATTGCCCTCTCTATAGCTTGTTAAGCAATTTTGAGATTTTATATGATAAACCACTAGAGATAAAATTATAATTATATTTAACTTTCCACTTTTGTGGCATGTTTTGCATATTTTGTTTTGACATTCTACTAATTTTTAACACAATTCACGTCTATTTGATATTTGGAATAATTGGAACATTATTTTTCGATATAGCTGTTTCAAAACCTCACCTGAAATCAAAACTCTGTTAACATCTATGAAAATAAATAAAGAAAGAGGATAGTAAATATTTTAAATTTTATTTAACTGGTTATTTTCTTCACACTATTACGGAATGAATCTAAACATAATAATTTTAAAATAATAAATATTTTACAGTCTAAATAAAACGATCTGTCAAATAATATTGATTCGTAAGTGGCCAAAGTTCTATTATTTGCAATATAAAAATAAATACGCTCTAGAATTGTTAATACATAATTAATTACTAATAGAACTATGTCAGGTACAAGACTACTATCTACACACATACGACAGATTTATTATAACCACATAATATGTAAGTTACCAAAACATTTTCTGGACTTGTTTCATTATAGAGAGAGAATTCAAGCACGCGACCGCTCACTGTATAGGCGAATTTGTAGCAAAATATCTTCACAAAAAAAAGAAAAACAAAAAAGAAATTTAAAGTAAGAAATAAAAGGCAACGAAAGCTCTATACAATTAAAAATAAAATATCAAAAAAATAAATATTAGTTGTAAAAAAAATTATATATTTATTTTTGGCTTAAATATATATATTTCTTGTTAAATAAGAGTAGACGTACCTTCAACTGTGTTGTTTCTTCAGACTGTGGTAGGGGCATGCTAACTAATATTTCGCATAGTGTAAGTAATCTGAAATCAATTAAACAGACTAGAGTAAAAACCAATTCACACCTCAATTTCATCTTAAAATTGCAATTAAAAGCAAATAATGAGGTCAAATAACAAACTAAAGGCAATCTGATAATATTTTATTAGAAAAAATGCGTAAATATAAACTAATCACATTCATGTACGGCCTTACTTTATAATCATTGACTATCGCTTACTTAATTTAAGTAATTATGGCTCATACCTGTCTCTTTCTATTGTCATTTTTTGAAAAGAGAGAGGAAATTTAAGCATTTCATAAATTTACATCGATTTTTATGAGTAAGATCGACATTTTACACATCTCTTATAAACTTACCTATCTTCAGACACACTAACAGCGATCTTCTCCAACTCTCCCCTGACTTTTATTTTAGGTAACCTCGGGTCATCGGTGATGAGACATTTGTGTATTTGTATCACTAAGTTTGTGGGCTGCAGCAGATGCATAGGTGTCCCAACTTCAGAAGCAATAGCAGAATGCCATTCCTCTTTAGCTGTAGCAACAACAATCTGAAAGTCAGCATCACTATTAGTCAATTAAACTGACCTATTTAAAAAAGCCCTACCTACAAATTTATGAAATTAATTCAACATCGCTAAAATTACATTGTGCTAAGTTTTGTTTTGCTAATATCATAATTTCTCATTTGCGTAATTCTCGATAACATACCTTCTCTTTCTGTTTGGATAACAAAAGATTTAACAATTTTGAGTTTTCCTTTACCATCTAAAAATGTGATGTGAGGAGAGGGCGGGCGATGTAGGAATAATCACATGAATTTTTTTCATTCAAAAACTTACGCGCGCGCCTCTCTTTAACCCTGCGCCCCTAAGCGTGTGCCTAGTTTGCCTTAAGGAGCTCTCATCTACGAGATGCCATCTATTATAGCAGTTTGTAATTATTTATATTATAAAACTCATTTTTTTAAAGTCCCGCTGGGTTTCTTACTGGTTCTTCCCAAGACAGAGGATTTTTTCGAACTAGTGGTAAAATAAAAAATTACTTTCAATAAGAATTTTTACTTGTAATCAATATTGAATAAAAAATTATTCTATTCTATTCAATTCTATAGCCATAGCTTCTGATTGAAGACAGGGTATAGCATCTCGTTTTTCGGTATTTCTGTCTTATTCCACATTATAACTTATATTAACTCATTTTACTATGTACCTAATATTTTTAGGCTTTAATTATAAATTATCACATTATTAATTCCTTTAAAAAAAAACATTGAATTGTTAAAATTACAGAAAAATTTGTTTGCGTTTACTTCAAACGGTTTTCTTAGACAATTTTTTTGCAGATATCTTGAGACAAACTTAGTTTAATCACAAACACTTCTTGATTTATATGAACATCTAAAGTCCGATAGCACAAGATCCGTGCGCCTACGGTAAACTCAGCTTATATAATTAATTTTGCACCTGCATCTCGGTGAGTTTAAGCGCCATTTTGTCGTAGCTGTGATGCGCTATCTCTCGCAGTATGTCTTCATCTGCAAGGCCCTCTTTGTATAACTTGTGAACATCTAAAACTTCCGAGCGAGGTTCCGACTTCACGCTGATAGCACCAAGTTTCACTACCACACATGATTCATTGCTGAAAGAAAAATCTTATGACAATAGAAAAAAAAATTATATAAATTATGTTATATAATAATGAGTGAAAGTTTGCGCAAACTAATCTTTTAGATTTCGATCGTGCATTTGGTTGTTACCACACATGGGCTGGTGCTACAAAATCCCACCGCCTAAGCAGCTTTGGAATTAATGTAAGGGCGTGCTAAAAGGCTTTAACCGATGGAACCGTTGCGTAAATGGAGTTAGTTGGAGGCCGCAGAGGAAAGAGCGCCTGGTTTTCTGATACGCCTAATCTGAGAGGGGTAGCCTCTCCGGAGGAGGAGACCGCTGGTGAGGCCGAGGATGTGTGAGCCAGTTTGCATCGAATATGGAACACCATGGAGTTTTAGCCGGTGCGAGCCCGACATAACCCGTCCTTGCACGCGCGAGGACGGTATGCGCCGTAGTAGGACGTAATAGGTATTTCCTATCTCTAGTAACATATAAATATAATTAGTACTTAGTACTTACTTAGGCCTATGTTCAGCAGTGGACTTGTGAAGGGCTGTAATGATGATGATGATGATGATGACTTACTTAGTAGTTAGGCTTATAATAGTAAAAAAAATATACCAGATGTTTATTTATATGTGTGACACTGGAACCCAAAAATGAAAAAAATTGATTATATAATTACAGTTCACTATAAAGTGTTACTAATATTGTAGACACTTTTATAATTATTTACCTCCAATAAACATGGCAGTCATATATAAAGATATTAATTAATCAATTGTTTTTAACAGTGAACAGTCACCAATTGTAAATATATAATACATCAATCACTTACCCTCTGTACATTCCAGTTTGAGGCACAATTATATATGAAGCAGCAATATCTATATCCAGATCTATGAATGTGTGATTCTGCACTGCATACTGCATGCCCAGTGATGATTTTTCTTTTAAATCAGATAGTTTGTTACCTGCTGCCTCTTGTAAGCTAGAACAATTCACTAACTATAGTAATTGTTATTACCGTTACAGCCTATTAAAGTCCACTGCTCATAGCTTGCCTTATAGGGGAGATATTTTTCATAGTTGTCACTCTTGGCAATCTAGTTGAAAACCACAGTTCTTATTTTTAGTCATTATTAGGAAGAATCTGTTGACCATCTCCTGATTTGTATTTGTTAATATTTGTATTTAACCTGTTATTTGGTTTTACAAAAAGAGCTTAAATTTTAGGAGATTTTTTTTTTATATTGTGCTCTGCGGCGAAAGCCAAACATCTTTTAATCAATATATAAAACCTGCACGTTCGATACAAAATGTATTGTAATGTTTTGAAGAAATGTAAATTACGCTAACACGTATTAAACTATGCCGCAAATTCTTCTCGTTCCATTAACATCTCAAAAAAGGAAACCTATGTCAAGCAATAAGACGTTAATAACCTGTTGATCTACTTTACTTTTTTCAAGAATGTATTAATAACTTAAAAATATTATTGATATAATACTTGAATCAATTTAATATACATATTTAATACTTGAATAAAACTTACGTCGTCAAAGCAGTGGATTCGGAAGGCGGTTTGAAGACGTTTACAATCTCTATTACCGTTTGTGCATCATACACAATCTGCAGTGGTTGCGCTAATACTTTGACTCGTTGATCGCATTTGCCATCTGTAAGAAAACATATTGTCTTAAAATCTAATTAACAACAGTGTGAGTTAAGCGCATAGTGGCGGTGTAAGAATATCCACTACCCCATGTTGTCCCATGGGTAACCTAAGAGGCGACAGAGGAAAACAAACCAGGAGATGGACAGCATCGTCTTCCTGGTTTCCCTAGGTGATTTTATTATTAAATTGTGTTTTTTTAAGCGGTCTTCGGATTACATTAGTATTATGACCTAAGGTAGTGCAACACCACGCTTCACCATTGCCTAATCCTCGAACGATGTGTATCACTCAATTATTTGATTAATAATTAACAATTTGGTGTAATTGTAATTTTGTATCTTACACAATAATCAGGAAGCAAAACCAAATTCAATCGTCGCTGGCATTAATAAAATTATTAATTGTAATTTTAAGAGCCGATAAACCATGCTCTGCGGTAAAGAAAAATTTAAGCAAAAAAAATAGTATATTTTAATACAATTGTTCAAAAAGTGGCGTATTGCAGGGACGCATAGCGTTCGGGACGTGAGCTATTACATACTCGTGCTTTTTCTTTACCTTTTTCGAACTTGTGCGTTCTCTTTCCCAACTGTCAAAATAATGTCTATTAAAAAGAAAAAACTAACCACGAAGTTTTTACTAAAAAAAATTCATAGAAGATTTTATGATTCATGCAAATATTTCTAAAAAGAAGCTACTAATTTGTTTCAATATCAGATTTAATGATTTGAATCAATAAGTTAGGTTAAGTTTCATTTCATTTCATCTCATTAAATTTAATTTTCATTTCATATCAATAAAAAAATCTACTGAAGACTTGGCTGTATGGACATAGTTCCCTTTGCCTACCCAGAATGGGTGAAGAAAACAAAAAAATCGCTGCTTATATTCTTTTACGGTTGGCGCCATTTTCCAAAAATGTTGAACCGTCATTGCAACTTGTTCTCTGAACTCTTTGCAATGACAGGCTTTCCGCACTCGTAATGAAATAAACGGCTTGGCATTCGTCACAAACAAGTAAACTTTTTTTTTTACGGGGGTCAGACACTGGTCGCAACTTCGAAACACGTTATAAAGAGCATTTAGCCGCGTACAGGAATTGTAACCCCGATAAATCACATTTTGCTAAACATCTCTTAGACACTGGACACAGCCTATCCAATAACCACTTCTTTAAAGTCTTACATTCTTGTAATTAAGGGCTACGACTGTGTGTGCTGGAACAGTTAGAGATATTAAAAAATAATAACGGTAATGTTGCACTGCTGAATGAACAAACAAATGTTTCCCACTCGCCTCTCTTAAACATGTTTAAGCCTGCTCCTTGATGATATATAGCCTCGCAACATGGTCGTTTGTCACCCTCACGGTGCGGCGGTCAGCGTTTGGTTGCGTGGTTTTAGGGTAGGCGGACGTTTCGCAGTAGTTTGTTGTTAATTTCACAGCAAAAATCGGCGTACGTCAGGCGGTGATTGATCGCATGACGTAATCGCTCGCTACGTAATTGGAGCGCGGTTGCGTCAGCAAGTAGTATAAATAGCAGTAGTTTCGGCTCGCCGCTCACCTAGCGGCCAGCCTCCGCAGAGTCTACTTCAACTGAGGATGCCTCGTGTAGAGGCGAAACACGTGTCGTATTTTCGAGAGTGGTGTGTCGTGCCTAGTGTGCTGGTGCTGTGTATAGTGCGCGCATAGTGCGCGCGATTGAGGAAGGGTGGGAGGTCCCCTTAAAATTGGGCAGGACACATCATTTTCTTTCTTTACGCGGAATTAAGCAAATCAGTTTATAACAACCCCATTTATTTTACTATTATATTGTTCGATAATTTTAGGTAGTCTTATAGTCAGAATTTTGTAAATTTTATATTTTGCAAGGAATAGTTTTCGTCAATTATATCATAATTCATAACATTTGGATTAAATTAATCAGAAAAAATTATATTAAAGTTCAAAGCACTAGTGTAATTGCTCGCAAAGTAAAAATGAAACACGTTTTTTTGGTTGTTTTTTCTTTAATATAGTAAAAGCAGATAAACGTTTAGTATTAAGTGTGACCCCTCTTACTGAAATCACAGCTTTTTTTCATAGAATAAGAGTGACAAACGAGCACACAGTCCACCTGTTGGTAAGTGGTTGCTGTGGCCCATAGACATCTACATCTATCTTCGTTTGCGAATTGAAATGCAGATGCGTTGTCAGCCGTAAGGACTAAGATGGAATGCCTCTTTTGCAGTAAAATGGGTCTGCGGTTCTCTACACTCACCATACGAAACACAGCAGCATTAAGCTGCTATTTTATGGCATGGCTCTACCACGTTGCAAAAAAGCTTGCCTTTGTCTGGTCATGCTAGCGAGTATATATGACTTATGGTTTATGAAATATGTTCCCATTCCACGGTAAGCACATTCTTTAGCTCTGTGATCGTCTGCGGTGCCACAGAACGTCCCAGACATGCACAATGAAATATAGGTCGCGACTTCGATTTGGCCAATCCAAACGACGACTTCCGACCTCTAGCATCCACATCTCCAGACCAGTGGGTGCGACTGTTGTTGTCTATAAAAATTGAGTTTTTGCCTAGAACGTCCAATGAGAGTTGTGCATGAGGAATTAGAACTTAGTCAGTACAGTCAGTAGAACAAGTCAGTGTGCCGTTTTGGATGAATTCTAATTTTGTACGCTCCAACGAATTTATTCCTGCCTAAAACATAACAGAGCCCCCAGCATTAGGTGAGATTTCTTCAAAACATGCCTCTACAAAGCGTTCTCTTACACTCGCCTGCGTCGGTCTTCGCCGTACAGAGATATAGTGGCTTCATCGGAGAACAATACCCTATTATAGTCTTCTAAAGTCTATGACGCACAATTTTGAGCGAATCTAAGCTTGGCAACTCGGTACTCACGGAGGAATTTCGGGCCGCGGGCTGAGCGATGCCTGCGTATATTGGCTCATTGACGTAATTTGCATTCGAGGTTGTTCTTGAGGTCCACATACGATTTGTGATTCCACAATACTCGATACACAAGAAAGCGATCATCCCGTGGTTCGGTACATGGCTTTCTTCCAGAACCAAGCCTTCTCTTGATTGAACCGGTCTCTTGATAGCCCTGCCAGGTCCTTTGGACTGGCGAACGACTCACCCCTGACTCATTCAGCCTCTGAGCCACGAAGCATTGGCTGAAACCCTCCTCAAGCGGAGCAATAATTTTCGCTGGATTTTATCACTTTACCTACCTTTTTCGAGACCGCTAAACAGCAATTACAATACTTTCAAATGTCAAATAAATGAGATGATTCAGTGAAAATGGGCTAAAAGTTATTTAGAGTCGATATTAACATTCGGGTGTTCACGCCACAAAATTAAAAAGTTGATTTCTTTAAAAACCAGCCTCAGGCAAAAATAATTAAATAAAAAAAAACTTTATAACTCATCAATTATAAAGTATTTTTATGTGACGCAATTTGTCGGGCCCCAAATACAGTGGTATACAAATAAAAAGTGATATACAAAGTGAAAACTTACCCAGAGGATTTGTTTCGAAAACAACATTCAACAAGTTGGCATCTTTTGTCACTTCCTGAGAAGTAACCATTTCTGGTTCAAAGTCGCCTTGCTTCACGCCCCAAACTGTAAAAGACTGCATTTGGACGTCAACCCTGGAAACCATAACAAACTTTTATTGCCTTTACCGGTTTCAAGGGACATGCGTGTATCTAATTTTGGAGGGGCACATTCCCTTAGATAATAATTTAGTACCCCCCCCCCCCCTGGAAACTTGGTGGTCCAACTCCAACTCCACAAGAGAAACATTTACACTTTCTAGCAGTACTACAACGGAGTAGGATCTGTGTGGGTCTGTGTTTCATGTAACAATATTAGTATTTTTGGTATATCGTCGATAAAAACAGTAACGTCCGAATCGACACACTCAAGCAGACACTAGCAGCAACAAGACTTCTAAGCTCGCTTATCAATGAAATCAGTCGCAGGTGCCATTGCGACATTTGAGGCGAGTAGTTCCGTTTTACGTTTAACTATTTAACGCAAACGTGATGAATGAGAAAATTTTATATTGTAAAAGTTAATAGTAGAGCATTCAGTATATTTTTTTAAAGAATAAGGGTGACAAGCGAGCACACAGCCCACCTGATGGTAAGTGGATGCTGTGGTTCATAGACATCTATATCTAACCTCAAATCAAAATGCAGATGCGTTGTCAACCCTGAGGACTAAGATGGAATGCCTCCTATTCAGGAAAAAGGATCTCCGGTTCTCTACGCTCACCATACGAAACACAGCACCCTTACAAACAGTATTAAAAGGGTAAGGTTTTCACCTGAATTGCGGGTGGGGGTGGTGGGGGTGGTGGGGGTGGTGGGGGTGGTGGGGGAGAGAGGGGAGTTGTAGAGTCGCTCTCCACTTCCTTTTCCTGCCGGACGTGCTTAGTATTTTTATAAATTTTTAAAAATCTCATTTTGAGGTTATATTTTCATAATGTCTATAATAATACATTTAATCAAAACTTTTTCAATTTATACGACAATTTAGGAGTGACAAACCCACAGTCAGGTCAGGTCAGTTCAGTTCGAAAAGGTCATAATTCATCAATAAACCAAAAGCTATCGTACAATAACACGTACTACACATACTGCCTAGAATGTGGAGAATGTGTGCTAAAATGTGTAAGCTAGATATTGCGCTAGTGGGATAAAAATCTAACCTAAGAGCATTAGCGCTGGGTCTCTGCTTCATATCCAACTGCACGTGGTCTACGCACGCCCTCAGAACTTCCCCGACGTCGTTGACTGTTACTTGCAGCCTGTCGAGGTGGAAGAAGCTCTCCATCGCGACGTACTCCACGGGCAGGTGCAGCGGCGCCGTGTTCTCCTGGTAGTCTATCGCGCGGAACAACTTCTCCTTCTCCTCCGGTGTCATCGCTTTCTCGAATTGTTTTACTGCAAAAATAACGTGCGTGAGTGTCGTAGAACACTCGGTTGGATTGAAGTACCTTTCGTAGTATATTATTATTGATAAACGTATTATATTTTTGATTAACAAATACAAATAAATAAATTTCTAGCGTATATTAAAATGAAGCGTCATTTAAAATAACATTTCTTACATGGCAAGATAAGAAAAAGTGCGAGGGAGATGGATATTATTCCATCTCGGTTCCTTATAGCTGCCACACCGTCTACACTACTTCAAAAGGGGTCGTGACGGAAAAATCTTACATTTTTTCTCGCCTAGCCCCCATACGCCCAATTCGTACCGTCCGATAAGGAACTTCGTTCCAATTATACCAAGTTAATGAATTGTATACCTAATTTAACATCATTAGAAAGGGCGAAGGAATGGAGGAGGGAATGTGTTCGTATGCAGGCTACTCTATAAGGGCCGCACTTTCCGCAGCAGATGTCACAGAAACAAATCCGCCAGAGAATAATTCTTATGCGATTAGAACATAAAGAATGTAATTAGCAATTGACTACAAAGTTTACTACTATGTACTATATCCGCTATTTGTCTTTATTTGACGTAGAATAGAATAACGGTGACAAACGAGCACCTGATGGTATGTGAATGTTGTGGCTTATAAACATCTACATTTATCCTCGATTAAGAATCAAAATGCAGATGCGTTGTCACCCCTGAGGACTAAGATTGAATGCCTCGTTTTCAGTAAAAAGGGCATTCGGTTCTCTACACTCACCATAAGAAACACAACAGTATTAAGCTGGTATTCTGTGAGAGCTTAGTCCTACCCGATCGAGCCGAACCATTCGTGCTACAACCATTTTGTTGAATGAAGCTCGGCTCTACCATGTTTCAAATGAATATAAATATGATTAGTATAGAATATGATTTTCGCCAATAATCCGAAACAGCGTTTCTTGAAAGCAATTCTTGATCATGTAAAACAAATCATTTTTGTCATACGCGGTTTTTTCCACATTTTACTAAAAAAAACTTAAATTACTCCACTCCTAACATTGAACAAACAGAATCCGTACTTATAGCAGTGCCCTCAGTGAGCTCGTCGTCCTTGGAGGTGCCTCGCGACCACCATCCGCCGAACCAGCCGCGGGTCTTGCGGGCTTCCTCCTCCAATTTACCCAACCTTTCCACCTGGTACGTACATAATATACACTATTATTTTGTATTCATTAGATTAAATTATAATATAAACAAAGACGATCGCGTAGTCTAAATCCTAAATTGCGAGTCCCGGGTTCGAATTACAGCCATATCACTTGTGTGAACACACTATTGTTGGTTTTTGAATCTATAATAATCGCCTTACATAAATAAGCCTCGATAGAAATTAACTCGGTGAGCTTGCACAGTTAAACTCAAGTGCTAAATACTTTACACATATTCTACTATCATTAAGTAGAGTCTTAAGTAGACAGTATAATAACAAGAAATATAATATTAAAAAATTTGGTACCATGACTGAAACAAAAAAACTTTAATTTGACGAGTTGATATCGTAAAGGCGTATGTTTGGTTTCATCGCTGCAGCCTGCGGCTTCGATTCCCAAACGCAACAAGTATTTGTAAAGCCATCAAATAAATACTTCGGCTCAAGAAACAATCATGAATGGGTCGGCTCAAGAAACAATCATGAATGGGTTGGCTCAACCAGGGAATTACCACACTCTCACAGAATACCAGCGTAATAGAAGCATAAGGCTGCTGTATTCCGTATTATAAGTGGCTAGAACTCTTTTTACTGGTAATAAGGTATTCCACCTTTGTCCTCAGAGGTAACAAAACATCCGAATGTTTCACTCTTACTTGAAGATTTTTTTTATAGTATAGGGTGACAAACGAGCACACAGTCCACCTGATGGTAAGTGGTTGTTGTGGCCCATAGACATCTACATTTATCCTCGTTTGCGAATCAAAATGCAGATGCGTTGCCACCCGTGAGGACTAAGATGGAATGCCTCGTTTCCAGTAAAAAGGGTCTCCGGTTCTCTACACTCACCATACGAAACACAGCAGTGTTGAGCTGCTATTTGACGCTGGTATTCTGTGAGAGCGTGGTCCTTCCCCGGTCGAGCCGACCCATTCGTGCTACAAATATACTACTAATATAGCTGCAGCATGGCTCTACCACGTAAATAAGATAGATAGAAGATAAATGATACTGTCTATATAAAATATGTGCCTAACCTAATACTTAACTACAATAACATTATAAACTAGAAAATAAACGAAAATCAACTTTGTACATAACTACAACTACTACAATTTTAACAGTAATAAGATGTACGAGGGCTGCACTAAAAGTATCGGGAATGGAATATTTCCACTGTTCCTGTCATATTTAAAATCTTTTTAATTGAAAAGTCCTTGGTTTTTTAAAATTGAATACCATTTATATATTTAAAAAAAGATTCTCGGTCTTGTCACAAGGTTTTGTCAAACTTGTTTAGTCGTTGAGAAAATGGAATTGACTCGAGAAAATTCAAGAGCGATGATTTATTATGACTTTCGAAGTGGTTTAACGCAAAAACAGTGTGTTGACCGGATGATTTCTGCATTTGGTGATGAAGCCCCATCCAAAACCACAATTTATCGCTGGTTTGCTGAATTTCAACGTGGACGTGTCAAGCTCAGTGATGATCCCCGTCAAGGTCGTCCAAAAACTGCAGTTACCCAAGAAAACGTTGATGCTGTGCGTAAGCTGATTGAGGAAGATCGACATTTGACATACCGCGAAATTCTGGCAACTATAGACATTGGCATGAGTCAAATACAAATAATCTTGCATGAACAATTAGGTGTAAAAAAGTTGTTTTCCCGATGGATACCGCATTCGCTCTGTGAAGAGCAAAAAGCGGCTCGCGTTACTTGGTGCGTCAGAACTCTCGAAAGATTCCACGCAGGATCCTCAAATGCTGTATACAACATCAGGTGACGATCCCGGAAATACGCGTACGAACCCGAAACAAAAAACCAGTCACGAGTTTGGGTGTTCGAAAATGAGTTAAAGCCAACAAAAATTGTTCGTTCACGGAGTGTTGCAAAAAAAATGGTGGCCACGTTTGTCTCCAAAACCGGCCATGTTACGAATATTTCTCTTGAGGGACAAATAACGGTTAATGCAGAATGGTATGCTAGCATTTGTTTGCCACAGGTCGTTTCTGAACTCCGTAAAGAGAACTGCAACCGCCGCATCATCCTCCATCACGACAATGCGAGTTCTCACACCGCAGACAGAACAAAAGAGTTTTTAGAGCAAGAAAACATAGAATTATTAGACCATCCGCCGTACAGCCCCGACCTAAGCCCTAATGATTTCTATACTTTCCGTAAAATAAAGAATAAATTGCGTGGACAGAGATCTTCATCACCTGAAGAAGCTGTGGACGCCTACAAAACGGCCATTTTGGAGACCCCAACTTCCGAATGGAATGGTTGCTTCAATGATTGGTTCCATCGTAAGGAAAAATGTGTCAAATTTCGCGGAGAATACTTCGAAAAGCAATAAATACATTTTTAAAAAGTAATGTTGTGTAATTTCTTTCATTCCCGAAATTTTCAGTGCCGCCCTCGTAATACTCCTCCACATGCTTTGTACTTTACCTCCATTTCTATTTTCTGCCTTATAACAACCAAGTTGAATAAATCCAACGACTTCTCAGCCTGGCAGATAACATTCTGCTGTTCAGTGGTCACTTTACCATTGTTGCTCAATTTGCACTGGTAGGCGTTCGCATAGTCTTTACACAGTTGTCTATGATTAAGCATGTGTGTCCAGTTCCAATTTCTACGACGTCTTCGTACTTCCTCCTCCAAGATGCAAGTGTATGCAAACTGCCACCACTGTTTATAATGACCCTTGTAGGTCTTTAGATTTGGACGGTATTTTCTATAAAAAAAAATTAAACCATAATTTTAATTTTATTGCAGCACAGAAAATTTATATGCTGTGTAGTCTCACGGTGTTAGTGAATCCACTACCCCATACATCCCGGGGGAGTCGTAAGAGGCAATAAAGGAAAATGACGCCTATTTCATTCTCCTTGGTCATTAGATAGCAGCATCTTCCTGATAACAACCCATAAATAATAAAAATTGTGGTTGCCATACCGAATACCAAAGTGGTAATTATGGCAAATAACTCAATGTTACAGTTGGAAGGATGGACAAAAAAATTTGGCATGTTATGGTTGCTGAAGAGAATCCATCTCTGATTTCTTTCCGTAGGTATGCTTTTCCCAATCCCGTATTATCCCGTATTCCGTATGTCCAACATTCGTATTGTACTACATGCAAATACTCAGATCAGCGACGGATAACAGCGTCAAGGGTGCGATATGTTATTTCAAATCCTCCTTTAACTAGAAAAAGCCCTAGCACAGCAGTGGATTGATACGGCTGTTTATGAACAGAGAATATTTTTAATGCGGACACTCGGGGTGCAAATTTCAATTTTAACATATTATTTGGATAGGTCCACAATTCATCTCAAAATGACAACATGTGAAAAACAACGTTTCGGTAGTGAAATTAACAGTACATCCAATTCCGTAATGCAGGATAAGAATAGTAAAGGATAACACTCGGTTATCCGTTGTCCAGGCAGTTTGTGCCAAAGTTCATACCGTACTTACTAGCTGCCCGCACTTGCAGTTGCTATTCAAAGACGCCTACGCAAGTGGCGTTGTTTATATCCATCATGTAATCTTATTGTTTCATAACAAGAATGCAATGTATTTTTCTGCGAAGATGTTACAAACGATTGAATATACAAACCTATAAGGTGCTCCTTTGCTCATTCTGTCCATAGAGTCGGCCAACAGCATCATGTCTTGGTACTGTGCCTTTGTAAGGCTCACAACGAGCTGTTCCATATGGAGGTTGAGGATAACCTTCGGTATACTAAATTTCGGCGTGTCACCTTCGGGTTTAGGGTTGAGTTTTAATTTTGCAGTAGCGTTTATTGGTCCCAATGCTAAAAATATATTCTATATTAGATAGATTAGAATAGAATAATTTTTATCCAATATAGATTACCATTGGTTCTGAGAGAAGCATCTGTCCTGGTTAGAAGCAGCAAGAAACACAGTGGCACTTTTTTAAAAAGAAAAAAAAAAGAAAATATTTTATTTCGCCACATCATTTTGTACACAATATTTCTCTTTTTAAACGTTATTTACTTATACGTTTCGTATTGTGACGAAAAGGGATCAGACTCAACAATTTGGCGCCAAATGTCTAGCAAAATGTCTAAATGCGCCATAGCCCGTTTCATCTATTTCGATACATCGAGCAGTGATCTGTATTAGTATATTTTTTTAAATCTTTTTAAATAAATGATAACAGTAAAAATCAAAACAATAAACACGAGACTAGAATAGTCTCTATATAACTTACGTTCTATTTCTTAAGCTTAAAAATTAAAATCTTAACAAAGATAAAAGGACAGCGATAGAAGCTAAATACAATCCTGAAATAAGTAGTTTGGATGATTTAAAAAATTGTAAAAGAAAATAAGAAGATAAAAAAACAAACACCATACAAAAACTAGTAACAAATACACAATATGTATGCAAATATTATTTTCCATGCAAGCTTTAGCAAACTTATTTCATTTTTTAAATCAATACAGCACCAAATATGATTTTGAAATAAAAGTAAAATAAAATATTGTTTATAACATTAAACAAGAAACCATTGAAAAATATGATCAGTAAAAAATGATAATAGACAACCTTTTCATAAACTGTGTAAATGGGTTAAATTTTCATAATATAATTCATTCGATGGCAAATATAAGGCAATCTATGGATCTATGCTCAGCAGCGGACTTTTGATAAGCTATGACGATGATAACTTACCATATTTATAGGATAGTGGTCGCGAAGATTTTGTAGCAATTTCATTCTGTAATCTAGTCTTGATATCTTGTGGTTCCGACTTAGAGTATAATTCGGTGTCTGGATTCCAATAGATCGCTAACCCTTCCATATCTAATATCTATTCAAATAAATTGGAAAACAAGTACATTAGCAAGTATTTATTCAACAAAATAAAAAAAATGTTCTAGTCTACTAGATTGATAATATGACACAACAGTTTTTGGCTTTCTCTTCCAAAAATGTATGGAAAAAATGTCGTTATAATCACACATATTATCTAATCATTTCCTTTTATTCTGGGAAACAGATTTTTTTAGGAAAATGGTAATAATGTTCATAAATATATACACAGTCAAAATGTGTAATAAATAACTAAGTTAGAATTGTGTTTTAAAAAGTTTTATATTAGACTTGCAACGAATATTCGGCTAACATCCGGTCGAATACTGAATATCTAGGTACTATTCGGCCTAATACCTAATACTTAAGTAAGAGGTTTTATTGTAGTCACATAATAATTAGAAAAGTGAAAATATTTATTTATTTTATAATGATTTTTTTTCTGGTAATCATTAAAGTACTCATAGGTACATAATCAACTTCCATATTATAAAAATTAAAAAAAGACTATCAGATAAATGTCTATGCATTGGAATTATCGTAATTAAAGTGGAAGATAATAGTGAAGAAATACTAATTCTTCTTAATTTTCAGGCAGTACTTTAATCCTTTTCTTCTTGCAGACGATCCCAGCTTCAGAGAAGGCGCTCTGAAGAATAAACACTACTTCCTTCCGGGCCGAATACTTTTGCCTAAAATTCGGATATTCGTCCAGGAAGTACGCAGAACATTCGGTATTCGGCGTGTAGTCGAATATACTATTCGTTGCAAGTCTATTTTATATAGACACCGCATACCATTACGTAACATTAGATTACTAAGTGGTAAAATCCTTCCTTTTCCGCCTAGGAGTCGTGGCAGAAGAGGATCTTAGTGCCTAGTCAGAGGAGCAGGAGCACCCTCTTACCTATTTCTGCTGCCAATTATCAGTGTAAATACTGTGTTCCAGTCGGAAGGGCATAGAGAACAAGTATAATTGGACGTGGTTATGCAAAAAGGATCAAAACCGCAAAAAAAAAAAAAAAAATATATATATATATATATATATATATATATATATATATATATATATAATATTTGAAGTGACGCTGCTTATTTGTGGTACTTTCGCTAAAATGGTTGCATCACATTATAGTATACCTAGAGTATAGACCACAAACTTTATTTCTAAACTCAACATTTGAATTCACGTATAGATTCGGATTGGATCCGTTTTGCGTAACTAAGTCTAATTACAGTCTGTGATTGTGCCTTTTTTATTTGAATTTGGCTGCAGGTGTGTATGGGCGGCAGTAGCCACATACCATCATGTGAACCGAAAGTTCGCTTGTCACTTCAGTTTAAAAAAAATACGAAAAATTAACAATAATAATCTGCCATGTTCATGTATTTGTAAATTATAGTTAATGGCTGTGGATTCAGTATGTGTGTAAAAAATAAATCACCACAATATTAGTTGAAACAAAAATTAGCAAATCCAAGCTAAGAATTTAAACCCCTTATTGGGGTTAATTACCAGAGCCATCTTCTATTGGTCTCTTCAAGACTTTTCTCAGGCTAACAAGATTATCGAACGCGTTGGTTTAAAGTAGGTACTGAGTAAGAATATATGAGAAAAGTCGAAGCAATATAATATTGCAGAACTGAATGGCAGAGTTGGCTAGGGATGGCTAAACGGAAGCTAATCGACCACATTGGCGATATATTACTGTGGGGCCAAATTAAGAGTATAACCTTAAGCAACGAGTACGTATGCGTAGATAATTAGATGTAATTAGATGTGGAGGCGAGATCGTGGCAAATGGAAGTCCGTAGTCTCTACCTACCCCTCTGAGTAATAGGCGTATTTATGTTCATGTTTTTAGATTTTAAGTGTAATTAAGGCGTGTTTTGCACATCAAAGAAACGGAAATAAAAAAATGTCACCTTAAATATCTTCGTAACCGCTTCCTGTATGACGGTTTGCTTCCAGTTCTCATCGGTTGTATAGACGGATATATTGTGTAGGGTGATGCCGAAAGAGAACGGTGCTTTAGGGTTTGTTATGCTGTCCTCGTATCTTATGTGGATGTCCTTTATTTTTAATTGTACATTCTTTATTATCTGTGTCGCCAATTTCTCGACGAACGTCTCGTCTAATTTATTTTCGTCTGTAATTAAAAAATATCCAATAGCAAGTTTAAACCAATAACTATAATCTAACACAGATATCCTCTAAATTATTATAAGTATTGTAAGATGATTAGGGAATGAGAAAAGTATGTTATCGACATACCACGCATTCGTTTGTCAAATGTAATTTTTTTTCATATCTACTACAATTTTGAAATAAGCTTTTGTCAAGCTAAGACTGTGTACATTTAATCAGTACAATAACAGGACGCGATATCTTTTATAAACCTCTCTTTACTTTAGGTGTTACAGACAGGACTATGTGCAGAGCCTGCATGGGGAAGTTAACGACAGCCTTACATTCTGTGGCCTACACTACATACAGTGCCAAGTACCTCGGAGAATCGATGTCGCTTCCCGTATTATTGATAATATTAAGAACTTATTTAAGATTCCTCGAGTAGCTCGGGTGATTTCAATCATAATTAATTCCAGTCCACACGCAATATACGCGCCTTAACATGGAGTTGCGGACACCGGCCCGGCTCAATCAATCAATCAAGTGAGTTAGCAGTTATACACTGGCTTAAAATAGTTAAAACTATGTCTAAAATAAATAAAATATCTTAAGTACCTAGTCATCATCAAACATAAGATAATACACACAGTGAAAGTAAATACAATGTATTGAAATGGAACATAAAATCTAAATTATTTTTACTGATATAATATTTACTCCGTTTTTAAAGCAAATAGTAATTTGTAGAGTCAGCAGTTCTACGAGTACTTCATACAGCCATTAACAAGAGTTAATCAAATTAAGAATCTCGAGTGTTACTACATGATCGTAAGATTCTTTTTTAATTTCATATACACTCATAATATGTCGTAAAAAGTTTAAGGCTCTGCGATGTTAACATATTTCAAGAGACGACAACGGATTGACTAAACTATCGAAAGCTATCTTTCAGTTACTGTGAAATTTACGGCGATCTCTTAGCTCCAAGCTACAATAGCTCAAATTCAGATACTCGTATATCACGATTAAAACTAAGTTCGTAAGATGTTATACGTTGTTTTCTTTATTTGTCAATGATCGTCTCTTTATAGTATAAGAGGCGACAACGATTTGACTAAAGTATCGTTAGAATGGCTGATTTAGTATCAATAGCGTGTAGATAGCTTACTTATGTGAATAGAATGGAGCCAGTCTGCCTGGATACCATTGGTGCGTTTGGTAGGAGTTTGAAACACGTGTCATGGTTTAGCAAACTGGTATGGTATGAGGGTGTAAGGGGCTCCGCTAAGATCTTGGAGCCCAAGCCAACTAAGCCACTCAAAAATGGAAAGTAAAAGAAAGAGATATACGTTTAGGACTAGGGCGTCGCCGCATAACGACGCGCATGGGGATCGCCTTAATCCTGCGACAAGTATGCGAGGGCTACCGGGCCCCGTGCGAGCCCGGCTAAAGACGTTAGCACCAACTACGAAGATTCGATTTGCAAACTGGAACATTGGCACGCTTACGGGATGCTCCGCAGAACTTGCGGCCATACTTGCCAGGCGTAAAGTGGCAGTGGCATTCCTGCAGGAGACACGGTGGAAGGCCAACAGGAGCCGGAATATTGGGCACGGCTACAAGCTGATCTATACATAGCCACCGATTACACCTCACGAGGTCCTCGCATCTCTTCGTCACATGGAGAATCGGAAAGCTGTCGGACCGGACGAGGTGCCAATTGAAGCGTGGAAAGCGCTGGGGGCTCGTGGTGTGTGCATTCTTACTAACCTTTATAATAGAATCCTGAGCGACCGAATAATGCCCGATCAGTGGCGGCTTAGTATAATAACGCCGGTCCACAAGGGTAAAGGGTCCGTTTAGGGTTGCGGTAATTACCGCGGTATAAAGGTGATGTCACACATCATGAAGCTCTTCGAGCGCATTATTAACACCAGGATCCGACAGGAGTGTACAGTGTCGGACTCCCAGTACGGTTTCCAACTAAGACGCGGTACCATGGACCCTATATTCGCCCTAAGGATCCTCATTGAGAAGCACATGGAAAAGAATATGCCTCTGCATTTTTTATTACTAGACGCAGGCCTTTGACTGTGTTCCTAGGGAGATGATCTGGTAGGCGTTGCGGTCGAAGTTGGTACCAGAGACCTACGTGGAAATCGTACGTGACATATACCGCAACTCCGATTCAATAGTCAGGACCGTTGTTGGTGATACCTCCCCCTTCCCCATAACCGTAGGCGTTCATCAGGGCTCCGTCTTAAGCCCCTATCTCTTCAGTGTGATATTAGACGAACTGTCAGCCAGCGCACAGAAACTACCGCAGCCTTGGCTGCTTATGTACGCTGTTGATATCGCACTAGTAGATGGGGAAAAAGGACGGCTCACCAGACGCGTGCACGCATGGAGGGAGGCGCTTGAGAACGGCGGGCTGAAGCTAAACGTGGCGAAGACGGAGTATATGGCCTGCAACAGCACAGATCTGGCGTCTCTCCGTATAGGCGACGACACCGTCGAGCGCACGGACAACTTCAGGTACTTCGGATCTGTGCTTGATGCGTCCGGGGACATCGATCGCGACATCAAGGCACGTATGTCAGCGGCTTGGGCGAAATGGCGCGAGGTGACGGGTGTCATTTGTGACCCTAAAATGCCGGTCAAGCTGAAGGGACAGGTCTATAAGATCATCATAAGGCCTGTCCTTACGTACAGCAGTGAGGCGTGGCCGGTGCTGGAGTGACACCGGCAGTTGTTGCATGTCACGGAGATGAACATGCTGCGGTGGATGTGTGGCGTCACGCAGAAAGACCTTGTACGGAATGCATACATCCGCCTCCATGTCCGTGACATTGCTGACAAGCTTGCAGGAAAGTCGCCTCCGCTGGTACGGTCACGTCTTACGACGACCGGCAAGCTACGTGGGAAACAAATTCCAGGACATGACCCTACCTGGTACCAGGAGTAGAGGACGGCCCAAGAAACGCTGGCTTGATGTCGTGCAGGATGACATGCGCGCCAATGGGCTAGTTGTGAGGGACGCCGAAGACCGGGCAAAGTGAAGGAGGAAGTGTAGGAAAGCGGACCCTGGGTTCTCCCGCGCTGGGCGGGATGAGCAACCGGGATAAACGCTAGGTAGAAGAAGAAGAAGAAGTTATGGTTTAGCAAACTAAACGATCATTAGGATGGCTGATTCAGGAATAATATGATATTATGCACAGTAGCTTTAGGCATATTATAAAAACTGACATGATTCGTTGGTGCGTTTAGTATATATATGATCAAATACTCAAACACTACTCAATTTTAAGATGTCATTAAGTCCCGTGGCGTCACAGTCCCTTTGACTTAAAGTGATAGAGACAGCACGGGACTTAACGGCAGCTTAAAATTGAACAGCGTTTGAGAATTATGGCAATAGCCGTTCAAAGGCGTGTTAGTATGCTTACAAAAAATTAAACATCAACACGATCATTATAAAATGTAATAATTATTCTGATACAAGCTATAAAATTAAAATTAAATCAATCGGTAAGTCAATCCATTGTCGTCTATTGGTATAAGGTCATCGGTATCATTTCATGAAATGAAAGTTTATAAAAGCAGAGCTTGATTGCGGTTAAGGTATGAGGTTACGCTACCGGTATAAAATATAAATATCGCTATTTTTAAAGCTAGACCGAAAGCGGTTAAAATTCACCGATACGCCACCGGCATAAAATAACGGTAACGTTATTTTTAGGGATATCGATATACCTTTGTATAACCTTTACATAACCGAAATTATATTGGTAATCAAAAATATCTGCGTAACCAAAAGTATTTGTTGTTTTGAAAATGTCAATTAAGAAATTCTAATTAATTGAAAACTAAGGTACCTAATTTTGAACCACAAAAAGAAGAAATCCTATTAGTTGATAATTATATAGCGAAGAAAATAATGCTAACCTTATTTTTCGGTACTGAAAAGTTTGTGTATCGGTATTTAAGATATCGAAATAAAAAGAAATGACGTCATACATACGTCATACCTCATAATTTTTATACTTGGAATCCATTAATTCTGCACGAGTAAGCCTATATATTTTGTTACATTCTTTGATATTGAATTTATAACCGGGTCAGCTTTAATACTCAATAAATTATGTTAAGCATGATGATACCTATTTAATATAAGCTTTTTGGTTGAACTAATTTATACCACAATTTAGTTGTATAATATAAAACTTGGCAAGTTACAAATTCAATACGAAAGCAAGAAACAAACAAACGTTGTTCCTTCGTATAACTATAATGAATAGTTATGGAGCTTGGCATCCGTTCAGATTTCAACTCTTTTATCTGTAAAGCCAACAACCCCGAACTATACAATTTATTCTCTGCCCGAACGTTTTTTGTAGGATATATGGCCAAATACTCAAACGCTACTCAATTTTAAGACGCTATTAAGTCTCATGGTATCACAGTCACTTTGACTTAAAGTGAAAGAGACAGCACGAGATTTAACGACGTCTTAAACATGGGTAGCGTTTGATTATTTGGACAATATTTGTTTATATGTATAAAATCGACTAAGTCCAATCATTAACAACAATATTTTTGTAAGTGTTCGTAGTGTTATCAGATATCGCATACTGATTGCACTTCACATACTGCTATTTATGGCATTACCGATTACTACTGATAAAGGTGGTTTAAACAATGTTAGTACACTCAATGCTCATTACTAGTGTTATTGTAATAATAATCATACATATGTTATCAGGCTTGAACAAAATGTCAAGGGCGTATTCATATTCTATGAATGATTATCTTAAATATACTAAATTTAAAGCTATTAATAAAACTGGTTTTAAAAATTAAACGAATAAATATTTCAAATGAATAATCTTTATGACTCCTACTATTTAAAAGCATCATCAAGTTTCCCTCAATCTTTATGCAGGCCACTTTCCCTACAGCCCGACATAGGCACCGTGCGACTTCTTTTTATTCTCTAAAATAAAAATCTGCTCAAACGGACACAGTATGTATCGCCGGCAGATACGCTAGCAAGTAGCAACGTCCGAGCACGCCGTACAAGTGGCGTCTGCAGAGAGGACTTTTCATAAATTGCTTCAGACGCATGAAACTGTATAGATGCTTGTGTATTGTGTAGTGTGTGGTCACGGCGGTCAGGCGCCTTTATGGAGGCTATCATCTGCGCAGGACAGGTTTCAACACTTTTCCCTTATTCTCAAGTCCGATAAGAATACAATCCGACACGATAGGAGAGAGATAAGGCGCAAGATCTACGCCTTCGCTTACTTTACAAACCACCAAGGTAAAACACCGACAACTGCCTGACTCCTGGCTGCTACAAGGAATTTTTTGACAGAAAAAATCCATTAACATGACTTTAGCCCAACCTGACATTCGAACCCGGGACCACATGCTCAAGTTCGCGCTTACATCCATTATACCAACGAGGCAGACAGTTCTTAATATTATCATATTATAATAGTGACGTTATATCATTATTTTCTATCTTAAATCATCAAGAGTAAGAATTACATCCCACAGTTATTGACCCTGCCAGCCGCAATATAAACCAGCAACCTACGGATAAATAAATAAGTACATAAACGTACAGTAAAAGATTATAAAGCTTATTGTATATGATAAGCGAAATTTTGTATTAATATCATTGTTCCACAATATAATGAAATATAAGCGATAGTTAACTGATATTGGTTAAGAGTACGAACTGCGAAACTTAAAACAGTCGTGACTTCATCGTTCGACTACCCTAGTGGACTACTTCTAAGAAAGCTTACCTTGACTACTCTTTAGCAGGCAGGAAACTATTATTTTAAGTTGTAAAATAATTATTAAAATTTCATAACTATCCTTAAGTGTATGTATGTTGTCACACATAAATGTATCTTCATAACATACTAATGTAGACGATAAGGTAGGTACTAAAATTAATGTCGCCGTTTTAACCTTAGATGTAAATGTAATAGTGTGGACACAAACCTTTTTGAGCTTCTTTCTTCTTGGCCTCCTCGACCCTCGCCAGCTCGGCCTGTTTGGCCGACAGCGCCATCTTCTCTTCCTTCTCCGGATCATACTTGATTTCAGCCAAGGGATTTACAATCAAAAAGAGGCGCTCTATAGACGCCTCTACTGACGCGCCGTACAAGTTCTTCCATGGTATTTTCAAAACGAGCTTTCCTGTATTATAAAAAAAATGATAAACACTTTACTCATTTTTAGCTAGTTTAATTATACCGATTCGCCTCTTTCGGAAGTTAGTGACCTGCTTAAGATCTGTTATGAAAATAACATGAATCGATTAAAAACTAATGATATCTTTACTAAATAATGTGTAGTTATTAAAATCACGTATCAAAAATCTCTATCGACCTAAGAATTCAAAGTAAGCGCTAAAACGATCGATTGTTTTCTCTCCTTATACTTGTGCCTACTTCAATTTTCTCTGAAACTCCATTTCACAAGGTAATAAAACTAGAGTTCATCCTTTTTGAATGCAAAGGACTATGCTGGAAATTAGCGCTGATTTGTTATTGCCGTATTACGCGAGGTCAAGCGGCATAACGACCTTCGAGTTATGTTTGTGTGAGTCACTTACACAATCAACCGACCGATATGAGAGCATGATGTCACTGTCTGAACTTTAATAGGTGTATAAAAAATTAGAAACGACCATGGTCCACCGATGCATGATAATAGCGCAGTGACGACGCCGTGCCGTGAATGAAATAATTAACGTTATTTAATTACAATAGGCATGTGGAAAACACACCCAATCCTACAAAATTGTTTGATATAAATTCTACTAGCTATATAAACTATCATATATTTTAAAAACCGTCGTAATTAACTTGACTCGCATTAAAGGTTCTGTTCATTTAAGCATTATCAAATGTGCGATAATAGTTATAGACCAACATGAAATGGTGACGGAAAATCCATCCAAAATTAATGAACCAAAACTTTAGGTAGAGTAGCATTAAAATAACGGATGTACGGCTCTGCGCTCACTAACCCCTTGTCAAGGATGATGAATATGATTTTTTTTTTTGATCCCAAGTGATAAACAAACTTACAGTCTTAGTTCCCCACTAGTTCAGGAAACCTACAACCAACTTCAAACAAAGTAGGATACAGATACACTGTCACGTTTAAGGACTAAGAATACAGCCTGTAATTATACTGGCTCTGTATACCCTTCACACCAGAACACAGTCGTTTGGAGGCAAAGATAGGTAGTGACCTACTCCGGACAACTCCTAAACAGAAAAGGAAACCTACCACCTAGTAAAATATGGATACAGGTTCTACATAATCCATTCTTGGAAATGCCATAATAACCAATGGACCTACCACCTACTAAAATATGGATACAGGTTCTACATAATCCATTCTTGGAAATGCCATAATAACCAATGGACCTACCACCTACTAAAATATGGATACAGGTTCTACATAATCCATTCTTGGAAATGCCATAATAACCAATGGACCTACCACCTAGTAAAATATGGATACAGGTTCTATATAATCCAATCTTGGAAATGCCATAATAACCAATGGACCTACCACCTAGTAAAATATGGATACAGGTTCTACATAAACCATTCTTGGAAATGCCATAATAACCAATGGACGTACCACCTAGTAAAATATGGATACAGGTTCTACATAAACCATTCTTGGAAATGCCATAATAACCAATGGACGTACCACCTAGTAAAATATGGATACAGGTTCTACATAATCCATTCTTGGAAATGCCATAATAACCAATGGACGTACCACCTAGTAAAATATGGATACAGGTTCTACATAATCCATTCTTGGAAATGCCATAATAACCAATGGACGTACCACCTAGTAAAATATGGATACAGGTTCTACATAATCCATTCTTGGAAATGCCATAATAACCAATGGACCTACCACCTAGTAAAATATGGATACAGGTTCTACATAAACCATTCTTGGAAATGCCATAATAACCAATGGACGTACCACCTAGTAAAATATGGATACAGGTTCTACATAATCCATTCTTGGAAATGCCATAATAACCAATGGACGTACCACCTAGTAAAATATGGATACAGGTTCTACATAATCCATTCTTGGAAATGCCATAATAACCAATGGACTCAATCTGTTAACGATGATAATGATATTACAAAATCTCTTTTTAACTATTGTGTTGAAAACCATATATAGACGGGTGATAGACAAAATAATTTAAGCGACATTTTTAGAAAGCCACCACTATTACAAAGTGATCATTTTGGGGTCTACATGCGTTATATGATTGTTCATGTGTCTAACAACTGTAGCTCGACCGATCTTTGATGTTATTGTACAAAATTTTACATCATAAACTGGTATTTTGAGACAAGTATTTCTGCGCATACATATACTTGCGGCACAAATATATCAATGTTCTCTAAAGTTGATAACTTCCTTTGTCCGAAACCATTCATGATGTTACTGTAAGCCAATATATTAATTTAAGTTTTGCTTTGTTATTTGAGCTACAGAGAGGGATATGCTTGGAGTTTGTCTGCATGATAAAATCTATAATGAGAATAACCACAGAAGAACAAGAGTAACTGACATAGCCCAGTGAATCAGTGGTCTGAAGTGGTAATGGGCTAGTAATACTGTTTACTGTACTATGAACTGACAAAACTGATGAAAAGAAAAATTATGCTTCATCTTGACAAGCAGTGCTAAGAGACCCTTACTAGATAGAATGGCAATGAACCGTGATTTGCGACAATTTATGTGGTAGGCCTATGTTCAGCAGTGGACTTTTGATAGGCTGAAATGATGAATTATTGAATTTGATATTATCTATACAAATAGATAAAATTGAAGTGTCCGTTTGTAATATAAAAATAACAACTTTTTACTTAACAGTCCAAAACCTGGCGACGAATTTTGGAAAGGTCCTTTTGGCAAGTTGAAATTGTGAACAAATATAATATCATCAATTGGTGAATCCAGCCCAGCGAATCTGGCAGAGCGTTTGTGGTTATTTTGTTACAGCGCAGCATATAACATTTGTAAAATAAATATCCAAAAAAATATATTTTGGCAACTTGATTTCTTTTTTATCTTTTAATTTAGTTTTTATATAATTCAAAAAAATATCTCAGACATTTTTCTCGGTTATAAAATATTATTACCAGACATATTTCAAACATATTTTATTAAAACTCCCAAAAAATATACTTTTGGCAATCTCAAATTTTAATCACGTATTTACTAAGTAATTTTAATAATACCTGCAAATCGCCAGACAAATTTAGCGGTTTTAAACAATTCCCAGACGTGAATTAAGTTTACAAATGAATATGACAAAAGAGTCTAATGCACAACAATAAGTAAGAAAAAGATAGCTTATCGAGGCATGCCAGCAGTTGATGGGGGCCCAAACTCCTCGCACTGTGATTATAATAGTTAATTAATTAATTATTATAGTTATTGAGAAACTGCGTGCTTCCGGTATAGTTCCACCTTTGCGTTCACACAAGAGTATTTTGTGTGAGAGCAATCGCAACATTGTGAAAAATTATCTAGTGTTTTTATATCTTTTTTAAAGATTTTAAAATTACATTCTTGTTCTCGGATTTAACATGTATGTATACGCATATGTGACCATGTAAATAATTGTGTATATAGTTTCAATTGATGATCAGTGCTGTAATAATTCGATTCACCAATTGCCGAAATTATATTTTTTGCCAAAAGGACCTTCCCAAAATTTGCCGCCAGCTCTCCGACTATAGTGTGTATGAAAGTATATAATATGGTACTTATAAGAATTTTTTTTAAATGTTTGTCTGTCTGTCTGTTCCGGTTTATCTTCGAATTGGCAGGACCGATTTTGAAGGCACTTACATTGACCGGTAGCAGATGTTATAACGAGCACCATAACTTAAGTGACTTTATTTTGGGAAAGGAATTAGGGTTCCGCTAACAAATAAAAATTCATGAATCGTCATTGAAATCCAATCATAATAATCGTAATAAAGCAGAATAAATCGTGGGGAACAGCTAGTAATGTAAGCTTACCCAAAAGGTAGTCTTAATACCAGCATATTAGTAGGTTATAAATTTTTCTCCATATGACAGGCAGAGAGGTCTTCATCTGAATCCCAAGACAATGAAGGCTATATAATAAGTGCTGGATATTTTCTAAGATTTTTGAAAAACTTATGTCAACGAAATTATTGAAAACAAAAGGTTCTTTTTGAAATGTTTTCATAGTTTTACCAAATATTATTTGCTGATGTCAAGGTCAAGAAAGACAAAACTATATTAAGACAACGACTCTAGAGGAAGCCATTACAACTATGAACAACTAATTAATTAGATTATGTTAAAGTATACACAAGGATTATGTCAAGGCTTATGTAGGTGGAATTGATCAATTCAACATTTGTAAAATTGCTTAACAAATTGGGTCAATAATCCTACAAGACCATACCATTTCCACTATTTATAAATATTATGACATCAAATTAGTTCATCTTACATCTTGCTTGAATATACTAAAGCAGATAAAAATGTTCTATGAGCTAATATTAATTTTTTTTTTATTGTTTTGCACCACTGCATTCGAATTCGATCCTGACACCTGACAAAGATTGAAGGCTAGTATACAACATAAAAAATACTTGAAAACCTCTTTATTCTTTCTAAGGGTTTAAGACTCAAATGTAGATAGAAAACCTACAATATATTTTAAGGTTTAAACTTTTTAAGGGTCTTACTTTTGTTAGTCTAGTCTTAAAACTTTGTATAATGGCAACCTAATAAAATCCATCATCCTATCTTCATCATCAACAACTTCAGAGGATGTCATTGATGATATCTATGGTTTGGCGGACCCAGATTTTGACATACAAGATGATAATATACCTGATGAAGATTATATAAACCTAACAATATGATAAACCTTTAGAGCCTTTTCGGACATCAACTGGTTAACCACAATGGTGCGTAAATAATTTTATTTTCTGCGTTCACACTCCATTGCATTAATTTTCCATTTCTCTTAAGCAGACTTCTCAAATACACAACTCACACCATCACATCCCATAGAGATTTTTTTATAGAATAAGGATAACAAAAGAACACACAGTCCACCTGATGGTAAGTGGTTGCTGTGGCCCATAGATATGCACACAGTCCACCTGATGGTAAGTGGTTGCTGTGGCCCATAGATATCTACATCTATCTTCATTTGAAAATTAAAATGCAGATGCGTTGTCACCCATGAGAACTAAGATGGAATGCCTCTTTTCCAGTAAAAAGGGTCTCCAGTTCTCTTCACCATACGAAACAACAGAATTAAGCTAGTATTTTACGCTGGTACGCTGGTATTCTGTGAGAGCGTGGTCCTTCCCCAGTCGAGCCAACCCATTCGTGCTACAACTATACTATGAATATAGCAGCAGCATGGCTCTACCACTATTGATACATCATCTTCTCTCCTCAAATACCATAACTTTCATCTTGTTAAGATTAATATATATCCCCTTCACCTTATATGCTTCATTCATGGCAGTAACCATGTCTTGAAACTTTTCTGCTGATGATTAAAATAGAACTTGATTATCTAAGTAGAAGACATTTGAAACATCACTTATTCATCATCAATCAACCCACTTTTACTCTCTTTTAAATCTGCCAGACAACTATTTTAATATATATTTTTAACTTATTTATTACAAATTTAATATCATGTTAAAGTAAAACACTGTGTTTTAGCAAAATTATTTTGAAGGAGGGTTCAAACAAAAAATCATTTTATAAAAATGTTTCAATGCCATTTTTCCTACTTACCCACCCTTTTTACATATATTTTACTAAAATAAAACCTATAATGTTCGTGTAATTAGGCAAAAAAGTGTACCACTGAAAATTGCTTTTTCTTCAATTGCAATCATTGTGGACTGGAACATTTTTGTATAAGTACATCCATATACGTATTTGCTGTTACATGTTGTAATGGTGTTGTTAGAGAAAATAAAACAGAGGACAGGCAGTAGCACCTTCCTGATAATATCTTCAAATAATAAAAAAACTGCAATCTGCCTATCACCTATTGCAACTATAGTAAATATCTTGCCTATGAGGCAATATATGGAGAGGCCTATATTCAGCAGTAGACTTCGTACAGACTGTAATAAATGATAAATGTTACGAATGTATGTACTATAAGAAATAGATACAAAACAATCAATATTTTTGCAATCAGGTGCAGTCTTTTACATGTATGAATAAAACTCACCCAAATGACCATAAACTGTTTGAACAGGAATGTTGAGCTCTTCCAGAGCATTTTGCTTTAATATCAAATTTTCAAGTACTACGTCGCCTGCAAAAATATACCAAAACATAAATAAACGATTTGTTGTAATAGATACTCTATGACATCATTTTACGTTAAAAAACTTACCGCCCCATATGCCTAGTTTCAACTGGGATCTGTTTAAATTCTCTACATAATCCCCTAGGAATCTATTTAGCACATCTACTACTATTGATTCAAATACCATTTTATTATAGTTAAAATTCTAAGTGTTATGAATTATTGCGTTTACTTATGTCATGGTCTGACTTTTTACTTCAACACTAATATCAAACACACATCCTTTACGTTATTAGAAATTTTATTTAAAACAAATTTGTATAATATTATATTACTATTAAAATATAAAAGGTTTATTTTTAAATCTTAAATATAATTTCAGTTAAACGAGACGAAGAAAACAGTGACAATTTTTTTCACAAACTGCTAGTGTTGCCTACGGTTAAATTAGCTCTCCACCATATTCAACTTTTAAAACTACCAGAAAACCACTAATAAAAGGCGGCCCTACTCTCCTATTATTATTTTTTTTATAGGAGAGGGGGCAAACGAGCATGCGGCTCACCTGATGGTAAGTGACTACCGCCGCCCATGAACAACTGCAACACCAGGGGAATCGCAGATGCGTTGCCGGCCTTTTAAAAAGGAGTACGCTCTTTTCTTGAAGGTCCCTAAGTCGTATCGGTCTGGAAAAATCGCTGATGGTAATCGATTCCACAAGGAGGTCGTGCGAGGAAGAAAACATCTTCTAAATCGCACAGTGGTGGACCGCCAATCATCCAGATGGTGTGGATGGTATCGGGAGTTCTGCCGCGATGTGCGTTCGTGAAATTTGGCGGCTGGGATTAATCCGAACAATTCCTCAGAGCACTCCCCGTGGTTGATGCGAAAGAAAATGCAAAGGGATGCAACATCTCTTCGCAGTGCCAATGAATCGAGCCGATCGGAAAGGGCTCGGTCGTCGACAATTCGAGCCGCTCTGCGTTGGATGCGGTCAAGTGGAAGGAGCTGGCACTGGGGAGCCCCTGCCCAGAGATGGGAACAGTATTCCATGTGAGGCCGAACTTGCGCCTTGTAAAGTAGCAGGCGGTGTGCCGGCATGAAATACTGTCCCGCTCTGCTGAGCACGCCAAGCTTTTAGAGGCCAATTTGGCCTTCCCTTCCAAGTGACCACGAAACTGCACGTCACTCGATATGTCGACTCCGAGGATACCGATACTGGCTGAGGCAAGAAGGGGAGTACCTTGAAACTGAGGAGATACGACAAAGGGGTTCTTTTTAGCGGTAAACGCGCAAACTTGTGTCTTCTGAGGATTAAATTGGACTAGATTTAGTCGCCCCCAATCCGAGACTTTGTTCAGCAAAGACTCGACTTCAGACACAAGTTTGTTCCGGTACTCAGCGACGTTTTCCCGAGAAATATTGGCACGGCCGGTGTATAGAGCATCACCAGTGCTGTCATCCGCATAGCAATGAATGTTACCAGTTAGCAACATATCATTGATATGCAGAAGAAACAGCGTTGGTGATAGCACACAGCCTTGTGGAACACCAGCGTTAATAGGCTTGTAGTCAGAGCATGCACCGTCTACAACGACCTTGATGCTCCGATCTGCAAGGAAGCTGGTGAAAATCCCTAATACCTAAATATTCCACTAAACAAATGTTTGTGTATTACGAAAGAACTCGATAGGTATGTTAGTAATTTGTTACCTTTATTATTACATACTGTGTAACTAAATATTAAATTTCCATATAAATCACCAATTAATCAATATACAATTAGTAAATCAACAAGGATTACTGGCGCTGAGGGCCACAGATTCGAATCCCTCACAGAACAAGTATTTTTATGGCCTATAAGTAATTGCTTCGGGTCTGGATGTTTATTCTTGTGAAATTTATTTATGATACAAGAGAAAATCTTAATGTACAGGCAACATCATTTAAATAAGAAAAATAGAAAATTACTATTTGTTCAAAGGCTACTATAAATTAAAACGCCATCTTCATTTTTAGATGAATCATGATGTCGGCACCATCATCATTGGCTTCCATCATAACTTATTGTACCACAAAATTTTCATTTCACTATTTGACCCGTAAAACTTTCAATCATTTGGATCAAAATCCTTCAAATGTGGGTCTTGAAGCCAAGAATCCCGAAACTTTTGCATAATTATACAATATACGCAAAAGTTTCGACATAGTGACATGAACTCCCAAAAACAATACGACCTCATCATATTAGTCTGTGAGTACGGCACTGAGTTTAGTGAGCTACTACTATAATATATTGTACGAGGAATCCCAACGAATAGTGTAGCCACTGGAATGGATCGTCTGAGGTCACGTTATGCCTGACGAATCAGTATTGTCTACACAGTATAGAATAGAATAGAATTATTTTTATTCAACATAGATTAAAAGAACACTTATTAAAAGTACTTTTTTACTTTTACCACTGGTTCGGAAAAACATCTGTCCTGGAAAAAAACAGCACGAAACCCATGTTTTTAAATAAAGTAAATTTATAATATGTTATTTTATACAATTGATTTGAAGACATTTATTAGACATTATCAATCTTTATTAGTAAAATAACCCTTACTAAGCAATTTTCGCCTAATAATTTTTTTAGCTTTTTGATAGATAAGGTCAGTATATTTTTATTTTTGTGAAATCTATGTCAATTTTTACACGCAAGTAAAAGTTGTGTGTAAAAATTCGTTCATCACCTTGTCAGTATAATACGTAGATGCAGAGGCACCTCCCTATAAGTAATCCTGTCGGCGCCCATGATCGCTCGTATGGCTTTCTTCTGTAAAACAAAGGTAGTTTCAATATCAGTCGCCACAGCAAGATTTTATGTGACATTATGCTATAAAATTAACTAATCTAGCTGTTTTAACATATATAAGCTTTAGTTTAACATATATAAGCTATAGTTTTAACATATATAACATATATAAGACCTCTAACATATATGCTGAAGAACTGAGTAAAAGTAAATAATCCTGATTGCAAAATCACAAACTAGTATATATTTATATATCGAAACGTATACGTGGCTTTATGGTTGAGTGATCATATTTCCATTTGCCCTGTAGTGGCGGTCAAGAATATCCACTACCCCATATCCTCCCATGGGTGTCGTAAAAGGCGACAAAGGGAAACAGGCAGAAGATGGGCAGCAGCATCTTCCTGATAATAGCCAAAATTATAATAAAAAAACTGCGGTTGCCAACCCGCTCGCCAAGCGTGGCAACTATGGCAAATACCCCCCAATGACTAAAGCAACAAACAGACGGCCCCCAGTCCCCGGCGGCCCCGCTATTCCTGGCTACGGTGGCGACCATGGTAACGGCGGGGCAGGGGGTGCTAAGAATCTCCGGTGGAGGTTCGGTTGCCACCTTAGACGACTCGACCTGGCAACGTACAACGCACGCACCCTGAGGACTGACGAGAAGATCGTGGAGCTGGAAGAAGAGATAGACAAGTTGCGCTGGCATATTATAGGATTATCCGAAGTCCGAAGAGAGGGGGAGGACACGGTAATCCTCGAATCCGGCAACTTGCTCTATCACCGGGAGGGCGACCATCTGTACCAAGGAGGTGTCGGATTTATCGTCCACAAGTCTCTCGTTAACAACGTTGTAAAGATCGGGAGTGTGTCGACGAGGGTTGCGTACCTTATACTCAGAATCACCAAACGGTATTCGCTGAAGGTCATACAGGTTTACGCACCAACCTCGGCACACCCCGATCAGGAGGTGGAGGAAATGTATGAGGATATCTCTAGAGCCATGCATTCCTCCAAAACCCAATATACGGTGTTAATGGGAGACTTCAATGCAAAACTAGGTACAAGAGAGAACGGTGAGCTGAAAGTAGGAAAATTTGGAATAGGGCAACGGAACCCAAGGGGCCAGCAGCTGGCCGACTTCATGGAGAAAGAGGGACTCTTTATGATGAACTCTTTCTTCCAGAAGCAGCCCCACAGGAAGTGGACCTGGTCGAGCCCCGACGGTTCGACAAAAAATGAGATTGACTTCATTATGACGACCAGACGACAACTGTTCAGTGATGTCTCCGTGATCGCAAGGGTGAAAACTGGTAGCGATCACCGAATGGTTAGAGGCACACTGAACCTAAACGTTAAGTTGGAGAGGTCTCGTCTAATGAAGTCAACGCTCCGTCCCCCTCGTGCTCTAATCCAAAGTCCCGAAACCTTTCAGCTCGAGTTACAAAACCGTTTTCAGTGCCTAGAAGACTGCAATGAAGTGGACGATATGAATGACAAGCTCGTGGAAACTGTCCATGCGGTCGGAGCTAAGTTCTGCAAGACCCGCCGCAGAAGAACACAAAAACTCTCCGATCACACTCTTAATCTCATGGCTGTTAGACGGGAGATGAAGCTACATTCTTCAACAGACTTGACAGCATACAGGCATCTGAACAGACAGATCTCAAAATGCATGCGGCGGGACTTACGCAACTTCAATACAGCTCGTATTGAAGAAGCGATCGAGCGGAACCAAGGCTCCAAAGTCTTTGCCAGAGATCTGTCTGCCAGAAAGAGCCAACTGTCAAAGCTGAAGACAGAATGTGGCAGCATCGTTTCCGGGACACCTGAGATTTTGAGTGAGATTGAGAGGTTCTATGGGCAGCTGTACACGTCATCGTTGGAGCCACACGCAAGTGTGAGTAACGATCCAAGAGCGAGTCTCATCCGACACTATTCCGAAGATATCCCGGACGTCAGTCTGAGCGAGATTAGAATGGCTCTCCAGCACCTTAAAAACGGTAAGGCCCCAGGCGAGGATGGAATTACAGCGGAGTTTCTGAAAGCGGGTGGAAGACCGGTACTTGAAGTCCTTCAGAGGCTCTTTAATTCCGTCCTCCATGGTGGCATTACACCGGAGGCGTGGAGCAGAAGTGCGGTGGTCTTGTTCTTCAAGAAAGGTGACAACGCTCTCTTGAAGAACTACAGACCGATTTCCCTTCTGAGCCGCGTCTACGTGCTGTTTTTGAGAGTCATTACGAATCGTCTCGCGCGCAGACTTCCAGCCTCCCGAACAAGCCGGTTTCCGAAAGGGCTTTAGCACCATAGACCACATACATACCCTTCGGCAAGTTGTACAGAAGTCCGAAGAGTACAATTTGCCACTATGTCTGGCGTATGTG